TCTAAAGTCTTATGTTAGGTAAGTTTTTCGCAAGGGGTCTCCAGGGCCTAAGCAAGAGACTAATTCTTTCGCTTTACGGTCTGAATGGCTAAGCAGATTTTATCGTGAAAGTTTTCCTGGCCGTGTATTTTTGGACAGTATAATGGTCAATTACAAGACAAAAATATAATTCTTTATCTACGTTTTTCTGTCAATATTTAAAAAGCATATTACAAAAAAAGCGTTCGAATACTAATTATTTACAATCACTAAATAACTTACACAGTAAATTCTAGTTTCGAGGCTAAACTATTATTGTAGCCGTGGAAATAGGGAATTTTCAGAATATTTTCGAATAAAAATTTTTATACACTTTCCTATCTCTAATTTAAAAAAATATATAAATTACAAATATGCTGACTATGCAGAAAGACTACTCCTTTTACTCAGACTATATTAGTTTGATAACTATAATACCATCCTTTAGATATAAGAAATTCTTGAAATTTTAAGTTACTTTATAATTAACTAAACTTAACATAAACTAAAATATATCATTAAAAGGAGTCCCTTTAGGCAAGGTTCCGAAGATACTGGCAGCGTTCCCCCTTTGAATTGCTAGACTAATTCTTTGTCCGAGGTAGCTGCCAGATCTTCGGTCTCCTGTGATGTCGACTAACCTTTTTGAAATTTCTTTAAAAAGCCTTAAAGCGCTAGGACCCCACGGACCAAATAATAATTATAATTACAAATTATAAGTTAAATTAAAAAAACTACCTTATTAAGGGTATTTAACTTAATATATATCCAAATGCTTTTTTTAATAAAGAGATAATCGAAATAATTATTTTATCATTTTACTTTATAAGAGATATCAATCTACACCCCTCTATTGTTAAAACTTAAAACATAGTATTAGATTAGTTTTCAGTAAAAGTTCTCGTTCTATGATGAATAAACCAGGCGCCCTTTTAGTAATAATGATGTCATCACTTTAGTATAGATGTCGCTCATCTTAAAAGATTTGTGTTATCTATGTAAATTTTTAAAGCAATAATAGTCAAAATGTTATGTGTATTAAATCAAACAAATAATAAGGATTTTATTGTAACATTGCACTATTATCTTCTCTCAAGAGATAATGAGTTAAAAATAAAGATATCTGCCGAAATTATTGACATTTACTTTTGAGGTTCATAACACATAACAAAAATGAAATGAATGACTCATCTTGTTTTTGTTATGGATATTCATTGAAAATAAGAATAACAAAACTGAATGGCGCCAAAATCAGTACGACGCTAATACGCATGCGTAAAGCGGGTGCTGATACTGATAATAATCAAATATGTAATGACAGAAATATGACCCACTGAATATTTTGTTCAAAATTTGACGGGTACTATAATACTAGTAGTAGTAGTATTCGGTAAACAAGACATTATAAGTGCAAACAACAAAAATGTTGGCTGAACTAAGTTGAAAGTACATATCCTCCAAGTTTTTTTTTATAAATATATTAGTATCAGGATAGAAACAAGAAATTTGGTACAAGACATGTGGTAAAAAAAGTCAATTTTTATCACCTTACTTCTAATTACCTATAATGATATACATGTATCGTTGGAAACTTCGTAAATGAACTTAAACAAATACATCTGAGCTCTAATGACAGAACATGTACTAAAACAACGTTCGCACCAAAACGTAAACCATAAAACTATTGCCATAATATTAAAAAAAAAAAACGTAAACCATAGAGTCTGGTGACCGGTACACAGATTACATATAAGATGTACACAGTAATTAGATTATTGCATAATAATATACTGTATCTATGTTACTTGTCTCTCTTATATTCGTTCTCAGACAATATTTAATAATTACTAATAAGATAAACTGTAATCTCCGCTGTGTAGTATCAGGCAATGACGTCAATTTTTAAAGGACATTCTCGTTTAAATTTTTTCGTCCATAACATCTGAAAAAAAAACATAAAAGATTGGACGAGATTGAACACGAATTCGTTCTTAAAAAAATAATCTTTATTATTTGTATGACCTTTCCTCTTTATAAAAAAAAGCTGTTGTTGAATAACGCTTTTAAAACCGATTATAATTTAAATCTTAAATAAAATTTAACTGTCTTTGTAGCATATTTTGTAACCCACATTGCTTGTACACTACATACCACATCGATTTGGAAGTACAACTGTACTATTTATATATGGATCAAGGCAGAGAAAACTATGACTTCTCCAATGAGAAGGTTACAAAATTTCGCGTTGTTTAATTTTATCCTTACACAAAATAACATCCTTCAGTTCGCTCTACGATAAATAAGAGAATAACTTACTTTTAACGCTCTTCGAAACTTGGTAGACATGAGACTGAATAAAATCGGATTCAGTACAGCACTAAACCAAGTATTCATTAACGTTATTCTTATTCCTGTGCTAAACCACTGAAAAAAAAAACAAGAAAACTCGGTATCTTTATATACGGATAATACCAAATCATTTAAACCCACCCAGGTGATTGATGTTAAGCCAAATCTGTAAGGCGGAACTGGAACTTGTTTTAAATTAAATTCAACATGATATGATAAATCTAAGTTGATACAACTTTCATCATACAAAGTCTCAATTATTATTTTTTTGAAGATTTTATGGCGTGGTAACGAGACCTTGAAGTCGTGTTTTTTTTCGGCCACTAATTTTCATTTATTTTTAATTTAATTTTACTTATTTTTAATTGTTTCAATTGTTAATTTAAATTATCCCCACGGTATTAACTTAATCTTAAAAAAATAACATCTGGTTTTCACATTTGAAGAAAATGGTTTATGAAAAATTTGGTTCATGTGTGAGAGCTCGTCTGTACAGAAAGTGCAAAATATTGCCATTTATTATATTGAGTTTTGCAAGGTGTTATGGCCAAATCATGATTGGTCTCAATCATGCTTTAGAAAAAAACGATTGCCGAGAAAAGGTATCGAAATCTTAACCGCCGCCATCTCATCTAATCATCTAATTTTAAAGAGCGTAGATTGTCATAAACGTGCAGTATATTTGTATCAGCAGTGAGATTTTATCCTCAATTTTTGCATAAAAACTTCATAGATTAATCAACTAAATTATCTTACCCATTCAAATTGCATTAATTGTCGCATATCGTAGGCGAAAATCATTATACGATAGGTGAAGAATGGAAGCCAACAGATTAAAAACGATCCCGTCAGTGCTACTGAAAAATATTTAACAGCATTTTGTTATCCAAACAATGATAATTTCATAGGACAAAATATAAATGAATGAATGCACACCCATTTTTTTTCAATATTTTATGTTGATCACATTCTGATGAAACGTTGTCTATGTGTTCAGTTAATTCACTTAGTGATGAAAAATAAATTTTGTCCACTCACCAATTATTTTGTGAACTCTTCGTCTATTGTCACGGTGGTTAAAAATTTTTCCTTTAGAACTGGTCATCTCATTCTCATTCACTTTGAACGCTATCATGGTATACACAAATATCATAATCGCCAAAGGTATTACGAATGTAAGCAACGCAAGTACACCATTAATTGTCCTCGCCTCTTCTGTCGGTACGGTGAAACATATCGATATTGTTTTCGTCTTTATATTTTTCACTGACCATACATCTGGTAGTGATTCCAGTATTGCTACAATCCATATGATTGTTATCACTTTTGATACTCTTTTCCAAACTGGTGATGTGTTTAATAGCAATGGGTACCATATTACTATGTACCTCTCAATAGCTAGAATTGTCATCATAAGAATTCCATTATTCCATAGACACGTTATGAAGAAAAATCTTAGCTGGCAAGTGAAATCATCAATTTTCGAAAAATCTGTTACGAAGTCGTAAATATCCGCTAAATTGGTGAACGTAACTATTAGGTCAGAAACAGCCAAATTAAATAGATAGTAATTTGTGGCAGTGTGCATGGATTTCACTGAGTAAATGACGATGCAAGTTAGGACATTACCGATAATACTAACGAAGAAAATGATTAGGTACACAACCACAAAAAATATATTCAACAAGTGGGGTTTTCCTTCAAACACTTTGATCAAAAACTGAGACCAAACCTCCAAGTCGTTTTCGTAACTTGTTTTATTCATGATGCTTTAGTTACGTGTAGCAAATATGAAAACTATCTTCCGTCTAAGCTCATACACGCTACCGTTGCTATAATAACCTCGCAAAGTAATGGTTATGATAATATTTGCTAATTCTTGTGTGTACTACGATTAAGTGGATTAAAAAGTGTTGACGCAATTAATGGTTTCGTCGAAGAAATTTGGGTATAGTAAATATAATTTATTAAATGATGATGACAGTTTAATTTGGTTAAGGTAGAAAGTGGGTTAAACAATAACATTAATAATTGTTTAAAGAATTTATTTCACTTCCAATTTTATGTAAAAATTATAGTATTATCTTAATTTATAAATTATAATATAAAAAAATCAAAAATTATCACGCAAAATGTTTCATAGCTTTAAAATCTAGTCTTATCATACATTGCAATAACTTTTTACTGGGAGTAAGAAAATAGCATTTCATTATGAACTTAAAATGGTATACAAAATGCAGGTGGTTTTTAAAAGCTTTAAGTTGTGCGACATATTTCATGCGTAGAATCAGTAATGGATTCGGTACATATTTTTTATTATTATAGTTTCATACACAATTAAGCGGTGTTCGCGCGGCGATCACTGTTCGCCTAGTCGTATCATCCCGTGCGAGTCTCATCCCTTACATAGTAGGTTCGAACCTCGGCTGTGCAACAATGGACTTTCTGTCTATGTGCGCATTTAACACTCGCTCGTACTTACGACGTAAACCCAAAATTCGACAGCATGTGTCCGGCACAGAAGGCTGATCACCTACTTGCCTATTAGGAGTGTTCAGCAAACAGAAATCTGAAATCCAGACCAAATAGGCTATCGCGACGATGGTTTTTTATTCATAGCATATGAGTTGATTTTAAGTAGTGATTTTACTGTCCGATAAGAACCATCCATGCAGGCACTTGGGTGCAGGTGTTGGTGTTCGGAATCTCGCACGTCCCAACTCCTTGAAAGTCCGAGCGTCCAGGACAAGTAGATCAACTGCGTTTTCATCGTTACTCCATAAGACGGCAGATAAGATCACTCCGTCGTCTTCGTCCTATTAAATACATAACTTTGAATTACATAGTGAAATGTCAGGAGTTTTCGTACGAAACACAGGAACAATAATTTATAATACACTTACAAAATGCTTCTTGGCCTAAAAATCGTTTTGAAATGTTTTGTTTGTTAAATATTATAATCATAATCAAGTTTATTCTTAGAATTGTTAGCCAATTGGAAGACAATAGCCTATAGGTAAAGTTATACAAAAAAAACTCACGACAGCACCAGGTCGAGGTATGAAAACGGGTTCACTCGGGTAACTATACCTTTCTTTCCATGTTAATACTTCCCCTGTACTAATATTTACTTTCACGACCTGAAATAATAAAATATACGTCTATCTGCACAAAAGGCATGTATACACTATTATCTTTGAACAGTAATAGTAGTAAAGCAAGTAACTCTCGACTCCAATTCACTTGCGAAGTCGCTTCACTAGGGAATCGACCGTACGATTCATGGTTGTTTCTTTCTATACAGAAATGAATATTGGGTTTTACATATGAAATTGACGTTTTGTCGTACTGGCCACTTTGACCTCAAATATCTCTTCTTTGGTTAGGAATTCCAATTCAATTTTTTACAGCTATTTTTTTTTCGTGGTTTTTTTCGAAAACCATGATTCATTTCATTTTCCTGCTTTATTTTTTTTTATTTGCGTCACTCTATTTATAAAATGGAAAACATGAAATATCGCGTTATTTACGAGTACGAGTTCCACCGTGGCACCAGTGCTGCAGAAACACAGTGCGTTTTTGGTTCCAACGTTCTGGAAATTTCGACCTGCAGAACAAGCCCGTGGACGGCCGGAGATCAAAGTTGATAACGAAGAATTGAATGCTATTGTGGAAGCGGATGCATCTCAAACTACGTCTGAGTTAGCTGCAGGCTGCGGTGTTAGTGATAAAACTGTATTAATCCACTTGAAGCAAATTGGAAAGGTGAAAAAGTTTGAAAGATACCTCATGAATTGAGTGATCAATCGCTCTAGGCTATTTTATATTTTAATGTCTAAGACATCCACAGATTGCCATTTATTTCGAAATTTGGATAACTTCTTGCAAGGTAAAAAAGTCAACTCTGATGGGGCAGTCGAAACCGCCTTCAAAGATTTTATTGATTCCCGTCCGAATGGTGTTTTAAGTAAAGGGATCAAGGTAGTTCACCTATAAGATGGCAAAAGTGTATTTAAAAGAATCTACTTTTTGTTCCTCCCATACAAAACGCCAATTTCATATGTAACATTTTCTCTTTCAATTATAGAAAACATGTCGAAGATACTGGGCATGTTCTAGTTAAAAAAAGGTGGATTGTCAGGTGTCACGTGCAGAAATTTACCAACACTAAAAAAACAGTTACAGAAATAACTTCTAGAGCTTTCGTGTTTAGTCTGTGTCATCAAAAGAGTGTAAACTGATCGATATGTTATTTTTATTTATTTTCAAAGTCGCTATTCGAGCGGCATAAATAATAAATATATAAAGTAGTACATACCGCCCCAGCATCCTCCCTTGAAACATCTGATATATTTCCATAAAAATAATTATACGGCCGGCCTAAAAACAATAAAAACTTAGTACCTAATGATCTTCTCGCATTCTTAATATTTGATGAATAGTGCATGATAAAATTTTAAATGTCGTTTCGAATTTAATAGTGTAAATGCAACTGTGGGTAGCGAGCGCAGGGCAAGCGTCTTCTAACGTCTCGGTCATTCACCCAAGGCTACTGACCACATCCCTCGCCTCACGTCGCTGCTTCCGTAGCTGCACACTTTTACACAAATATTCTGAATTATTAACACTAAATATACCATTATATAACTCATAGTTAATCCTGGGCATCTCAACGCCAATGTCAACAATATTCTCTGAATGCACAAGGGTCATCTCTGGGGCATTTAAGGGAATGTGAAATCTCCTTGGCCTCGTAGAACACCACTTGGCATAGTCCAGGTTGCTGTGGCTTGCCTGAAATTTGACATTAATAAATTTTTATTACTGTTAAAAAACAATAATAACTTTGATGTATAGTAAATCGACACGAAGAAAACTCATAGTACGTCGTATGTTAAAAGTCTTTATTTTTTTATCAAAGTCACAAACCACAAAATGTAATAGACAGCGCGGCGCAAGATCTTTGTCCAGGATGAGGGGGAAGGGGGATAAAGAAGGTGGACAAGTTGACGTTTTTGGATTTGTAGCGCCAAATAAGGTTAAAAGAAATCTAATCTTAATATGTATATATAAATTACGTGTCACGTTGTTTGTCCGCTATGGACTCCTAAACTATTTCAATCAAATTTGCACACCGTGTGTTCCTATGCTCCTCCGATACGGTTCGACTTTTTCGATTCTTATGAATTATTTATGCATATTCAGTAAGTCTGAGAATCGGGTACTATCTATATTTCAAACCCCTAAATGATAAGGGGTGTCCACCCCAAATTTTAATTTATTGGATAACATTTTTTTTATTATGTTGCATTAAAAAATACATACAACGCTTAATTTTCACCCCTCTACGATCAACCTCTATTTTTTATTATAGTAGATAGTTATTTCTATTGAACTAAAAAATAATATATGTGGCAAAACAACGTTTGCCGAGTCAGCTAGTTCCATATAAAATTATGTTATATTTCAATTTTTTTTTCAATTAAATTATAAGGACGTTAATCTATGGGCACTTCCTCAACCTGTCGACGCCCTTGCTTCTGGATACTTTAAAACGCTTTTGGGTACAACAAAAATTCTATTTAAAACCTAACCTTAATCGCATCTACAAACATAGCATCAATGATCTTAGCATCCTGGTATGTACACATGTCAAGCAACAACTCCCCATCTCGTTCGAAGCAGTTAACCACGTGAAGGAAGAAGACAGTCGCTGTTCTATACCGTTTCACTGTTCCGTCAATACGACTGACTGTTATGATATGGGTCTGAAATAAAAATATTATTCTAAAGTAACTACATAAAAATCGACGCCGTGATAAAATTTAAAAACGCTAATGTTTTTGTTCTCATATCTTTAAATTTGGTCATTTGTTTTAATGTTTTCTTATTATTATAAATACACACGTGTCCCAGGCTTCACAACTGGTGAGAACTGTGTATTTAGGACGTCCCAGTACATTTTTAACACGTTTAACAGTATAGTTTAAGCTTACCAGAAAATAAAATAACCGCCCATTGATACAAATTATCATAATAACATGTTTAAATTAATACTCAAGACTCATAACCACAAGAAATTTAGTATTATGATAATGGCAATAAAGATATTTACGGTTCAGTTCAATATTCTTTATATCTATCTCGCTTGAAGAATTCATTTGCGAACTCACTTACCACATCGCCGTTTGAAGTGAGTTTGAATCGAAATCTGTTTTAGTTTATATACATATATATACTTTAAATGACCTTACATATGTATGATATAACTTACCTCATATTCGGAATACCAGTTTAGTGCAGACACATAAGCTTCTCCATTCATCTGACACTTTAAGTATTTCGATATTGATAATGCCAAGGGTTGCTCGATCAGAACAAAGTAATTTTCCGACATTCCTGTAAAAAATATATAAATATAACAGTTAATTGTAGTGTAAATGTAGTAGCTGAACCAGCCATCCATTGTATATGCAAAAGAAACCACAGGCAAAAAGTAGTATATATTTTTTGACCGTTTATTACCTAACATCCTAAACATACTTACATTAACTCGAACTTTACTCGAACGAGATAAAATACATGAAGTTGTTATGTTTATTAACCGACTAAACAAATTAGGTTATCAGTTTGTATGTATTTTTGGGTTTGGATAATATTTGAGTAGCAACATCTATTGATATATGTTGCTACAAATAGCATGGACACTAAAACTTTTACCTCATTTTTTTATTTAAAATGAAAGTCATGTTTCATCAAAATGGGTTTAGTAGATTTTTAGATATGGATATTCCCCGCGATTTTAAGATATGGGTATTGACGTGTATATTACAGGTTAGGATGTTTATTTTCATATTGACGTAACAGGTTTGACCCACCAGCAATAAATTGAGATTAAAGTAGCTAATTCTTTGTCTATTTTGCACCAATTTAATTTATTAGTTTCAGCATTTCACCTGTAGCAAGAAGTACACACTTTACCATAAAATTTCATAAACACAACTTCACGTATTTTTATTATTTTATTACATAAACATACCGAATGAATGCATGTAACAGGGATGAATGTACCATCGAGTGGTGACCGTTCCCAGAATTTCTGCTGACTCAAACATGTCTCCTGTAAGCGAATTTTGCTAAATGTATATACATAATGATTGGCTAAACTAAATAGGTCTAGTTTGTGCATATCAGAGACGATACTAGCGCACGACTCTCAAAGCGCGATGTCGAATCCTGTGCATTATTATATTTGCGAAATTTGTAGTGAAACTGTTCCACATCAGCTGAATTTACGCCACCTGCGGCATTTTTCTTTACTTTGCTCTTTTCCCATTTTTAAAAACCAATGTGTAACTCGTGAATGTTCGAACAATTAAAATTCGAATATGTCCAAAATCATGTTTCACAATTCACTGAGCTGCAACCCGAAACCGAACCTTAAATGGCAGGGTCGCCATGTAAGGACGGGACTAAATAAGAATGATGTTTCCAGTTCGAAGATACATTTAATACTCCTTGCTCTAATACAATGCATGAGAATTTATACTAATATAATCATTAATATAGATATAAGGCATAGGTACGCCACAATACTATCGAAGGCAAATGAAATAGGCATGTTATACTTGAACACCGATTCGTTAAACACAAAAAACCGATTACCTTATTACCTATATAAAATATATAGAAGATATAAAATAATCGACTTAATCGACTCGAAATAGACTGTCATTTGAAATTAAATTTTTTTTTTTAAATTTACCTTTTTCCTTATATGGAAATTTTACTATTAAATTTTTTATTCTGCCTTTCACAATCTGCATACCAACGTTGTATACATCCCCTGAAATGCAAAAAATATTAAAAATTAGTATATTTCGATTAGGACGATTTTGTAAAAAAAACACTTTTACTTATCTTAATTTAACATTAGGGATCCCCCTTATTGATAAAAACTAAATTAGTTTAATTGCACACTTTTTAGCAGCACTTTGGTTTGGCCTTTCTGTCAAATATCTTTACGCTGTGAGGAAATGAGACAAATGAGTGATTAAAACGAGACAATTAGACAGTTTTTTTATGAATACCGTTTTTATCTTTATATATAGACAAAAAGGAAGGAGCGGAGGAGCGGAGGAGCAAGCGGAGGAGATGATTAAATAGAGCAGAACTCTTGTCCGTTCTTGAATAAGTTATATTTGATTTTATTGCGATGATAGGGCATTGAAGGAAGCATGCTTTATCCGGCCTAGTGGTAGGAGACCAGTAAACCGGCGCAAGTACCGCTGGATGGAAAGTGGAAAAGTACCTGATGCAGCTAAAAGCCAGCAATTGGAGGAAGTGACCAGCAGAGTGAGTGAATAACTGATTGAAATTAGTTTTTGCTTACCATTATTAGCGATATGCGGGTGCGCAGTATGTGTGATAACAACTGAATCCATCAGATTTCGTCTATCCATCGTCTCTAACGTCACAGGGTCTATTCTGCATAAAATTAAAATTATATTAAAAACGTTTCCAAACTTTCCATATAATCTCTATATATATAAAATTCTCGTGTCACAATGATCGTTCCCATACTCCTCCGAAACGGCTCGACCGATTCTTATGAATTTTTTATGCATATTCAGTAAGTCAGAGAATCGGCTACTATCTATTTTTCAAACCCCTAAGTGATAAGGAGTGTCCAACCCAAAAAAAAATTCTTATTTGTTGGATAACATTTTTTTATTATGTGGCATTAAAAAATACATAGAACCCCTAATTTTCACCTCTCTACGATCAACCCCTATTTTTTATTATTGTAGATAGTTATTTTGTAAAAGTTTCCTAGAAATAATATACATGGCAAAACAAAGTTTGCCGGGTCAGCTAGTATATTTATAAAAGGTAGAAAAGCGATGTTCTAAAAAATATGTAATGCTACTTCCGGTTTAATATAAAAAATATACAGAAATAAGGAGCTCACCTATAAAGTAAAGGCACTTCCGTGAGTGCGTATATTTCGTCACCAAACGGATAAATAGATATCACAGCATTGTCCGTCGTGTGGTTGGCTGGGTCAAATACTGATGAGATTCTGAAACGTATCAATTGCCCTAATTATGCACTTCATAATATACTTAGGAAAGTTTCTTGATGAAAGTTTCCCGCTTTTAGTAAAATATAGTTCACTTTTCTGTAGGTTTATATGAGCAGAGCCATTACGACGAAATCAATCGAGCATGCAAAAAAAATATATCTGAAGATATATTTTTGTATAAAAAAAGACTCTATATGTCGCCATTTCGTGTATTAAAATTAGTAGTGATGGCCTAGCGGCTTGTGCATGCGGTTTATATCCCTAAGGTCGTAGTTTCGAACCCCAATAGCTGAGTACCAATAAACTTTATCTTTAGACTCTATATATTTAACACTCGCTCATACGGTGAGGATAAACATCATGAGGAAACCGGCATGCCTTAGACCCAAAAACTCGACGGCATGTGTCAGGTACTGAAGGCCGATCCCCTACTAGCTTATTACAAAAAAAACACGAAACTCTGAGCTAAGCTAAACACTACTCAAAGCTGAGACTATAACCAGGTTGTAGCCCAAGTGGTTTTGTTTCTAAATTTAAATCTTTACACAAATTTAAATACGAAATTATTCCTGAATCTTAAACTTTCATATACTATACGAATCTACAAAGATAATTGCAATCAATATCTTCTTTTGACTTTACGTAAATATTTTATTTTTACGATAAATTGCTAATTACTCCGGATTAGTACCTTACGATAAACAAATATCAAATATTAATATGCTTTATGAATTTCATAATGTTACTGTAAATAACAGTACTGGAATATACACTTTTTTTTTTTTTTTTTTTTCGTGGGGAAATGCGATACGCATACCCTCCCGCGGCATGGTTGGCCTGGTGGGGAAGGGTTATATGGGACTCGCTGTTGTGCATACCCACTAAAACCCCACGGCGCCACCAGCAATCGCCCGGGGCAGGACACGGTAACAGCGTAGCCTTGTCCGCATCCAGCCACGCGATCAGCCGTTAATATTACGGTCCTCCACGGCCACGAATGATGTGGAATGGACCTTGGCACAGCAAGGGCCTTTCACATCGGCCAATTCATCCTGTTTTATAGAGCTGGGGGAGGCCGGGTACAATGCTTGCAGGGATGTGTCAGCATCCCTTCAATAATACTGGAATATACACTACTAAGTACTACTACTACTACCAACCTATTTTGATTTATCATATCATAAGCGTATTTCCTAATAATATAAACCATTTATATGCTTTCTGCTCAGTGTGCTACTACAATTTACCAATCTGAGTGTAAACTCCCGAAGTGTAAAAGTTATTAGTGGTTGAACCCGACCCGTGTAGAAAGCCTTTAACCTGGAGTTCACTAGGGAGTCACTTTTCTGCGTAATTTATCAACTTTCTGAGTAAACCTATTTCTTGGGAGTCGTATCTCGGGGTTATTGCTATATCAAACATTGTATTTTCGATATTTATTGTAGTATCAGAAATTTAGCAGGCTATATTATACCCTCTGTTCGAAATACATATTTTCATTATACAAATTTTAATGAGGGTACATAATATTTTAATTCTGCTGATCGCCACACTTTATTAAGTTGCTTTTTTTGTTTCGCTTGGGTAATGCATGACGCACTTGAATTGGATTACAATTTTGTCAGTTTTATTTATTAGTTACCTCTCAATTTTATATTTTGTTTGTGAGTGTCTGTGCGTATTGTGAACTATTTTAAGTCAAAGTATTACTTACTATATATATTATCAGTCTAACCGCTCTCATTGTTCCCATACTAATTTGACTACGTATAAATTGATGGACATTGGTGTGCCATTCTTCGTGTTAAGGATATATTTAAGCGAGTTATGAACTGCTATTATTACAAGTAAAGTAACAGTAACAACGGCCACCGACTGTTTTTTGTGGTAAATAATTCTTTGGATTACTTCTTTTAAGCCTAGTGTAAGCCTACCTGCCTAAAACAATTGTTTCGTCGGAGGACACAATCTCTGAGATATACACCTAGTGCGGTTACCACTAAGCCATGGAGGTCTTGCTATACGGATAAAATTGTAAGGATAAATGTTTTTAGTTACATATACTGTATATAGTTTGATTAAAATGGCACTTACTTGTCAAAAATAGTCTGGCAAGGATCCGGTACCGCGCTCGTACCGAATTCTGTGACTACAATACGATTCGCAATCTGGTTTTTCTTATACGTGTTCGATAATAAGAACTTACATTGGTAAGTGACTTGGCCATCGAATATCGCAAATCTGAAATTAATACAGTTCTATTGAACCAACCATAATAGGTATTAGTTATGACCTACGCATAGAATAAATTAGTATCCTAAATAAACACTTTTTTTTTGAAATAGGAAATATTAGTATGTTTGTAAGGAATAGACACAAAAACTACAGGACTTCTTTAACTAATAGAATGCTGCGTTATCCCTGAGTGTGTTGTTGGCTTTAGCGTATGAGTCTAATCCTGAAGTCCCCCTGAAGTCGCAGGATCGAATTTGGCTATGCACCAATAGCCTTTCTATGTGCAGTGTGTCGGATACAGAAGGCCTATTTGCCTGTTAGAAAAAAATGACCACGAAACAGATACAGAAAACTGAAGCCAAGACCTCCAAGGTTGTAGCGCCACTGGATTATTGCGTGAGGCTCATGGGCAATATTTATTTCGAAAATATGTCCAATCGTGAATAGCAGGGAAGGACCGCTAGTAAAATTTAGTTTTGTTTTCTTATAATCATAATGCAAACATTACATGTTACATTAATCTCTTATTTTCACACATTTCAGTAAAACGATAAATTCTTGTTGTTCAATATATATTATCAAACAAACCTATGTAAAAGTGCCGATCCATCGAATATATGTTGATATTCATATTTTCCAACTTTTAAAAGGCCTGGTCCATTTCTCAGGAGACTTCCGCGAATCCAGGAAGGAATTTCTCCTGCAAATAAATAATGATATAATCCATGTATTATATTTATTATTCTATATGAAACACTATGTAATAAAATATTAAAGAGAAAACATTTAAAATGCTTGACCAAGACTTTACCTAGAAAGTTTGATAGCTACTCGTCCTAGAAACTCGTCTGTTCAGTAACAAGAAGTATTCCTCCTGCTATGCCAGCCAAATGATAAATGCTGCATGCCATCTATAAACATCTGTCTTACTATCTCCTCCGATGGACGCCGCAAAACGTATTAAAAATTACAAAAAATCAAATACATCAAATTCAGCCATTCCAAGAGTTTCTAAATTTAAACTACTTACAGATAAAATTGATATTAATCAGATGCGTTAAACTGAAAATATGCATCCAGACGACATGTATTATATTTATGTGAAAAAAAAAATATTTTTTTTAATTGGTAAAAATACCTGTGGAGCTACAGCCTTTAAGGTTCCCAGATTTCTGTATCTGTTTCGTGATAATTTGTTTTTTTTAATAGGTGATCAGCCTGACACACCCCGCTTTAGGGTTTTTTGGGTCTAATTCATGCCGGTTTCCTCCATGTTTTCTTATGCCGGACGATCGAGAAATGCTCACATAGACAGAAGAAGGAGCCGGGTTCGAACCTGCGTCCTCTGATAAGAGTTGCACGCTTTCAATTTTTATCGGTAAGATATTAGTTGTTCGGTATTGTTTAGTTGAGAGGGGTTGTTAAAATAGTTCGACATTTTTTATCGAGGCTAATGTGATAGGTTACAATAACACAATGAAGTCACTGGCATCAGTCATTTTGTAATAAATCATAATAATAACAATGTTTATATGATTAATATTCTCTAATAAGACCTAAATTGTAAACCCTTATATAAAAAGAAAATTTAACAATGAAATTAAAATATAAACACTTTATTTACATCACATAACACAAAACAGGAGAAAAATTGAATTAAATAAATGAAGACAAAGGTTGTAAATGGACGGTCTTACTGCTAAAAGTTTCTTTCAAAAATAATCGCCGGCGTCGGAGGTAATTTAAGGGACAGCACTCAGTATGGCAGTTAACATAATTAAAATTACAAATGCTTCAACAAAAGTTTTACGAAAAGACATTGTTTCCTATAAATACCTATTATACTTCCTTCCAAAGGCTCTGTTACTTCTTTCTCACATGTCCGCAACAAAACGCTAGAATCATATTGGCTGTGGGTTCCATTTTCTTTAATTTCCGACATTATCAAAAACTTAAATCACTGCACGCATCTTATTCACAACTGCAAGGGTTGCCGTTGAAAACACCAATTTAAAGAACGTATCGAGCCAGGAACAAAGGGCATTGTATTAAAGGGTTCTGCAGAATTATTTAATGTATAAACTCAAACTCAAAATATCTTTATTCATAATTTAGGTAAAAAAGTACACTTATGAACGTCAAAAAAAATTTAATTAATTGTAAATTTACATTTACTACCAGTTCGCAAGTCAAGGGCGTAGAGCGAGCAAGAAGAACTGGCAAGAAACTTTCCGCCACTCTTTTTAATCGCCAAGTTTTGAGTCATACAAATTGTTTGAACTGGAGCAAATCAATCCCAAGGATTAGGGTCATTTAAGTATTCGTCAAATTTATAAAAAGCTTTATTGATTAATTTACGTTTAACGAGGGCTTTGAATTTATTTAGTGATAATTCTTTACTTTCGCTTGGGAGTTTGTTGTAAAAACGAATACAATTTCCATATAAGTAAGAATGATCTATCTTCTGGAGCCTGGTTGGTCGTATACGCCAAATACTTTGAATTATCAGTATCTGGTACACAGAAATTAGATTGCCATAGACTCCATACAGCGAATACTTAACATTAAGAATATTCTACAATTCTAATTCTAGGTGTGAAGATTTTTGTAGTTATTAATATATTAAAGGGTTAAAGGTTTTGTCTTACATATAACTATACTATATCCTGGAATCCGGATTATTGTCTGAAGATGATATTCATTTAATTTAGAATATTAATTTACATAAAATCATATTCTAAATTAAATATATGTATGATATATATATATATATATATATGGTATACCAAAATTCAAAACTTACATTCTTAATTATTTCATAAAGTATTCGTATTGAGAATAAAAGATTCCTTCTTTTAAGTATAGACATAAATATAATTCAAAATCGATACAATTTATTTTTCCATCGTATTATATATTAAAAAATTTAACCCTATATTTTAGCAAGGTGACACAGATAACTGTATATATTTTTATACAAAGAAACATTAAAATTACGATAATAACAATTAATTATTTTATCACTAGAATTATTTTTAGCAGAAACGTGACAATAAAATATAAAATTGTTTAATTAGTCACCTCATTATAATGATTACAAGTGCGAATGAGCATATGGTAATTTCAATATGATAAAGTGAAAAGAGTATATTATTAACAAAACATTATTTAATAGAGAATTAACATTTTAAATCACAAAAATTGTTGAAAAAAAATTACTTCGCACAGTCAGATTGATTAATTGTACAAAAAAATCGCAGAATCAGCAATAAAAATATTGGTATGCAAATGTCATTGTAATTATCATAATGTCATAATAATAAGAACAGTTAAGATATTTATGATTGTTGTCGAAACTCGAAAAAAAATGTATTATTATTATCATATATTTAATAGTTGCAGTAAGTACGTGTCCACGGACGTACCGATAATGTTCATAGTATTTTTGGCTTATGATAGCATTCCCACACACACTTTTTAGTTTACCATAAATATCCTTTTGGAAATGGTAAATAGCATATATCGATAGTAACATCTTCATCCGTTGCCATAGACGCGGCATAGCATTTACGATTTCAATTTTAATTAAGCTTCATTATTTATCCAAGGTTCTAATTACGTCATAAACAGTTAAATAAATCCAGTTAAGTGTGGTTTTATTTTACTTCCTTGTTTATAATTTTACATATTTTAATAAATAAAGCGTCCTTTAGTTGTGTTTAAAATTTCCAAGCTATCCGAGTATCGCGTACTGGGTGACGGTGAATGACTTTTACTTAATTAAAAGATTGGTGTAACTATGTAAAATAAGTAAACATGTTTGTTGGATGTTGCAAAATACGCAGCGCTTGCGTTGCCAGTGTAAAATAATAATATTTATTGACATTATTCTAAAATATATCAAACAGGTCTTTAAAGACGCGAAGGATCCAACAATTCAACAGAACCCGTTATTTCGTTTATTTTATGCTAACCATCGACATCAAGCTAAAAATATATAACTGCTTATATTTATATTAGGTCCTTAAGGTGCGCTTACTCGAGGGCAATAATATACAAATAAAAAATAAAATAATTTAATAATTTTGGTATATGAAATTGACCCAAATATCTCCTTTGGTTAGGAATTCCAAATTCAATGTTTTACAGCTATTTACTCGTGCGTGTGTTGGCCTAGTGGCTTCAGCGTGCGACTCTCATACCTGAGGTCTAGGTTCGAATCCCCGGCTGTGCACCAAAGGACTTTCTTTGTATGTGCGCATTTGACATTTGCTGGAACGGTGAAGGAAAACATCGTGAGGAAAACCACGATTCATTTCATTTTCCCGTTTTAATTTTTTTTTCTTCGCGTCACTATTTATAAAATGGAAAACATAAAAGAGCTTTATCTTCGTACAAAAAGCGCTGGATGTTACCATACAATTCTAAAGAATATTCGTTTCACCTATTCAATCATATATTTTTTTCTATGAAGACATTCGTACCTATTTTAATTGGAAGTATACATCAAAACACATGCAAACCTTCTTCATTTATCCGACGGTTGAATACATAATAATGATATATAACATCATCTTTAGGACGCTGATATCTTGTACAAAAGACGGAAACAAGACTTAGGCCGTTTCTCCACTGCTCCGGTCCGGCAAACGTTAATTACCGATCCGATTTAGAGACTCACAACAGTACTTACGTACTTCTCCACTACTCCGGCATCCGGTTTTTAACGATCCGATAACTTGCTAGATCGGAACGCGGTGTTTTATCGGTCCAAGTATATCTAAGTATCCAAGAGGTTATAAATTATTATTCACAGGTTTATTTATAGTTTCTTTAAATTGAAAGAGTCTGGTTAACCTGGACCAAACCAAATTATGTTGCTATTTATTTATATTTTAATACCATAGTATAAAAATATAACTATTTATTAAGTAGATTATAATATTTTAAGATAGACTATAAAAAAAGGGTGCGTGTACTTATGTACGCGCGTAAGAAGTTATACTTCTTTGGCTTTCTTTATTTTTTTTAAATATAATTAATAATTAATATTTAACGTAAACAATTTAATAATATTTAATATTTAGTATATTATTCAATTCTTTATTAATATTAATAACAATTATTATTATTTTATTGTATTATTCATTGAATTTAATAACTTGGTATGATTCATAACCTTTTAACTAAGTAACAATAGGTCTTTGTGAAAAAGCATTGCTTAATTTCTTTGAAAAATTAATTAAAACTCCTTTATTTGTTTAAAAGGTAAATGTCATTATGGTCATTCAAAATTCTTGGCATAGCTGCTAACTTCACGCATATTCTATTTCTTTTTACTTGTAGATTGTCTTATTCCTATCTCGCTCGCGCACGCTATAATCACACTGACAACTTTGTGTCTCAGGTGCGCGCGCATCGTAAAATTTCACTCTCATCAATTTTTCATAACGCGCCTAAAGAAGTATAACTTCAAAAAGTAATAAACTTGCCAGAGCAATAAAATATTCAGAATTTAGAACGTTTTATTAATAAAATAAAGTATATGGGTTTTAGTTAATATAGGTGTTGCATGATAAATATACAAGTATCGATTATTGTCGGATCGGATATAGTGGAGAAGCGCAATCCGGCCTTCCGATATTTTTCTCATGACTCATTCCGGTATCCGACGCCGGACCGGAGCAGTAGAGAAAGGGCCTTACTGCATCTAAATTAAAGAATATATATACAAAAATAGACAAAATGTAAGCCCCCCGTAAATCTACAGAAATATTGAAATAGGTCTAATATCCAAAGATTCTTAAGTAGGAATATTAACAATGAAATCGTGTAAGCCCGTTACATGACGTTTCATTTTAAATGAAGTGATTATCCAGAAACTTTTTAATCCATTCAAGCATATTATTCCCTCTTGTACCGGTACAAATACGCGTAAAATTTAAGTAAATTCGTTCGATCGTTAACTAGGTATATATAAAAAAAAGAAATGATTATAAGCATATAAAAAATGATACCCGCAATAACATGTATGTATAATAATTTAAATATTAATTTTTAAATGTTAACAATGAAGTCAATGACTTAAAATAATATTAAATTTAACAACTGATTCACCATTTATGGTATTTTGTTATTGAAGTATTAAGCGATTTAATTTTATTATGATAATACAACTGGTTTAAAAAATAAAATAAACCGTTTGGTATTTATTCATTCTTTTGTGGGTATAAACCACCCGTGTAGGCATTTAGGCGCCGGCGATGGTGTTTTGAAAGTGGTCCTTGATAGCTCTTTGAGGTCTTTAGCGTTCAATATTAACAGCGACACTCGGCGCTCGTCGTTACCATAGACAACAGCACTGATAATGACACCATCGTCCTCGTCCTATAAAACATATTTAAGCTGTTAGAAAATTACCGCCCACGGTGAAAATGTAAAAAGACAAGACAAGACAAAGGCGCGTTCCGTTTGTTTGTGACTCAGCAGAATCTTTAGCCAGGCGTTGCCACGCGACATGGTTCATCCATTTAACCAATAACAATTAAACGTTAGATGTCTTCTATCGTTTTACATTCTCACTACTCAGTATTTTCAATGTCGTTGCGTAATAATTGAATAGTAAACGTCTTAGCAGATCTTACTCTAAGCAATTTAATTTTAATTAGGTTTGGGCTTCAAAATAAATAATTATTTATCTTAATATATATATTTCTTGTGTGCGTGTGTATGTGACTGAACTTCTCTCAAACGACTGGACCGATTTTGATGAAATTTTTTGTGTGTGTTCAAGGGGATCTGGGAATGGTTTAGATTCACAAATCAGCCCGGCAGATGGCACTGCAGTCGGTACTTTCATACTTTGCTTAATATCCTAATCGCTTTAAATATCATGCAGGACAACGTCTGTGGGGTCCACTAGTTTATTTATAAAATAAAAACAAGTAACATAATTTATTAGGGTCGCAACAGCGGGCTTATCGGTAACAAGCGATCTCTTCCAGGCAACCCTAGAAGTGCATAACTAAAATAACAAAAATACGACACGTAACATTTAAAAATTGAACAATTACGAAACTTAATCTTAAATAAAAAATCTGAAAGTCTAATAAAACGAATTATTTCCAAACACGATATTAATCCAAATAAATACCTTATTCATCACCCCTATTAAATGGAACAAAATTGCCCATAAAAGCATTTAATTCTTAATGAATAACTTAGGAGATATCATAGATTTAGACTGCAGGGAACAGCTAACATTTTATTAAAATCAGGAGCATACTGGTGGCTCACCCGTAAAGTGACACGCGTCGTACTGGTGCGAGTGCGAGGCCTTTTAAATATACAATAAAACAAGTAAGAATATTTTACCTTAGCTTCAGGTTTTGGTACGAATATGGGTTCACTGGGGTAGCTGTTTTCTTCCCACCACATAAGAATCTCACCAGTTTTCGTATCCACTTTTATCAACTGAAATTTTTAAAATATGTTTTCACTTAACCGAACCAACACGTGATTAGGTTATCTAAAAGGAATATTCATTAGGTGATATTAACACAAACTATACGTAGAAATGAATAGATATTAGTAACGATAAGATTTTTGTATGATAATATTTAAAATTATATATATATATATATATATATATATATATATAAAATAAACTGTTATCTTACTAGCTTATAATATAAACATAACAAAGTTTAATTTTGAGTATATCTGTTATGAATGAAGAAATAAAAAAAAGTTTTTCTTTAGTTTTGTGTTTTTCGATCTATGGTGGTTCGTAAACATCAAATTGACTTACAGATCCTGTGTGCTCCACATCAACTTCAGAACCAATTGCGTAGAAGTATCGGTACGGCCGGCCTGAGAAAGAAAAAGACTTCATAAGAATCACAAAAAATGATTTTTTTATTTAATATACGTCAATATATCAACATTAAACCCAGACGAAGCTTGTCCCTGAATAAAGCAGATCTTAAAATGTTGAAAAACTACTGACCGCTGTCCTGACCGCGACAATGTCCATAAAAGGTCTAAACACACTTTAGTATGAAGGATACTACATTCGTATATTTTTACTGTACGCATTTACAATCTTGTCTTTCTAAGAGACCCTAAATCAACAAGAATTAATAAAATTTTAACAAAAAACTTAAAAGATTGTTTAAAATTCCCCAGTTCCCCTACAAAAAATAAAAAATCTGTCATTTATCAACTTGATGTATCAGTCTCCGTTACCCACGATTGTTGAAAAGCCCTCGAATCGGCGAGTTAATGTAATAAATACAATAAAAGGTTTTTTAAATTGTGTAAATACATTAACTCATAATTTGATTATTGAAACAGTCTTGGCCTAGTGGCTTAAGCGATCATCGGCTCTTATCCAATGGACTTTCTATCTATGTACGCATCTGTGAAGAAAAACATCGTGAGAAAAACGACATGTCTCAGATGCAAAAATCGACGGCATATGTCAGACAGAAAGCTGACATACTTGTCTATGGAAAAAGAATGATTTTGAAAATGAAATGACTAATTTGAATTTTGGGACGACATACTTATTACTTACGAGACCGACTGTGTGTTTTTATAAGTATACTTATATATATAATATAATATAAATATTTAATAAATTATTAATCTAAATTATTGACACGAGCGTGATAAGAATAAACCTTTGAACGGTTCGCTCAGTTACTTACCATTAAAATTTTCATAATTCAGTCTTGGTGTTTCACAACCAATATCAGCTAGTATACGTGGTTGAATTTTTGTTAAATTGGGTTCTCTTAAGTCAATTTCCAACCGCTTCGGTCTGCCTCGAAAGTACTGTGCATAATCAGGATTGGTTTGCATGGTCTGAAACAGAGGTTACCGTTAATCTATTAATACGCCATTGTTTTTTACTAAATTCCTTCCTCCACCATACAATGACATTGCCCAGTTTCATGTTAAATCCTTTATAAACAGTAATTGACTTTTCGATAATGCAATTCAACTTGTAAGTTTTCGTTCAATATAAATATATTCATCTCTTAACTTTCATCATATAAAAAAAAGTAAAGGTAAATAACTGTTAAGGCAACAAAAGTATCCATATTATATCTAATCAGTTTTTTTTATATTAATAAATGATAAAAATTCTATATAATCAACGTATGACATTAGTATTTTAATAAACACAGATATTATTCCTCTCACGTTACAAGCAAGGGTTACCTGAAATAAATGTGATTACAGTTAACTTCAAAACATTGTAATTCAACGTTAAATCTAGTAAACTAGTACATTTCTAATCTTGGTACTCACCTCTATAGCATGTACATACATAGCATCTATTATTTTAGCATCCTTATAAGCACACAAATCCACCACAACCTTCTGGTCACATTCGTAGCAATTAATTATATGAAGAAAAAATAATGTTTCAGTTGTATAACGTTTTTCTTCGAATCCCGATATACGGTTTATTAATATTATGTGGGTCTGAAAAAGTTAAAAAATATATATTTGAGCCTTTCTATGTATAATTGATGGAGACTGTGCGGATAGAACATTCGTAGGATTTGAGATCGCAGCAGTGCGACATAGGTCGACCAATATCATGTTAATACAAATAAAATAGTTTATATTTTTTGTTAATATATATAATTGCGCGTAGTTAAATAGAACTATATTAGTACACAAAGACTCTATTTGGTTAACATGGTTCGGTACATTGTATAACAAAAATATCAGTCTGCCCAACTGGCCACAGCGACTTCACTCTATTGATATTAATTTTAATAATCCAGTGGTGCTACAACCCCATATGGGTCTTTGCCTCAGATTGCATCCCATCCATCCATCCATAGTTTATCAGCCTTTTGTCTGACACATGTCGTCTTTTTTTGGATTTGTGACATGTAAAGCTTAGGTTTCCCAGAAAAGCGGTGCCGTTATCTAACGGCCGTAATGTAGCCTTGGGTGACGTCACCCATACGTTGTCTATAAATAACATCGGAGTAGGTTTCCTAGAGAACGTCGAGTGTCACTCTAACGTCAAATAGCGGTGCTGTCATTTGCATGACGGCCATTATAGCGGTGATAAACATTAGTTCAACGTTTTTCGCGTGTAGCGGTGCCCATATTTAATTAATACAATGAGTGAAAACGTGACTTGGACGAGCGAAAATGATTGTTTTTTTGCATTATGTTAAAAAGTAAAGACGGCCGTCACTGCCGGCACCGCTTTTCTAGGAAACCTAAGCTTAGTGACATGTCACAAACCTCACGATGTTTTCCTTCACCGTACGAGCGTGTGTTAACTGCGCTATCTTTATAGAAAGTACATTGGTGCGCGGCCAGGGATCAAACTACGAACTCAGGGATGAGCGTCACACGATAAAGCCACCAGGCCAACTGGTATGTGTAGTGTGTGTGCTATGGATAGCAATGAACTTGAGTACGATGACATATCTCTAGTACTATGGTGTCAGCAGGCACAGAACCGAGAACCGACCGTGCTCATAGAATATATATACGTATATACATAGAAATATGTTATTATCGGCCCCTCCCGACAAAACCTCAAAAATCTGCAGCTACTAGATCAGTGAGGCAGTTGATTTAATCACACGTTTTAATAAAATTAATTTAATAGACATAAACGAATCCTTATTATATTTACTTATTTAAATAATTGTACCTCGTAATCTTGGAACCACTTAAGACTGCTAACGAGTGGTTGATTGATCAACTGATTCCGGGCCATTAGCATCAAAGATATAGTGAGTGGTTGCTCCACTATTATATAGTAGTTTTCTGTTATACCTGCAAGGTACTCTTGGTAAAATACTAATTAGAAAACCATTATTCTTTTAGTTTCAAGATAAACACAATGTATAAAGACCATATTTAAAAGACTGTTTACGACGACTAAAAGAATCTATTGTGAAGTACAACGAGGCCGACTTACGTCGATATAGTATTAAATAATAATAGTTTTAGTACTATATTCATAATAAAAAAGTTGCAAAAACCAACCAAAAGTGTGCATATATGCTGGATGGAACGACCATCGAGGTTTTATACTTCCGACCACTTCCGCATTTGCAAACATATCTCCTGAAAATTAAATTTTAGACTTTTTATCATATATAAATATGATAATTATTAATTGAGTAGTGTTTTTTTTAATATTTAATGAGTCTCTTCAATTTCAAGGTGCGATTTTTTTCCGTTATGAAATTAAAAAAAGCTATATAAATTACCTTTATCAAGATAAGGAAATTTGACAACGACGTGTTTAATTCTTCCCGCCATTACAGACATACCAACGTTATACACATCACCTAGAAAGGGAAATTAAATACAAATACATTTCTTATAAAATATATACTTCTTAAATTAAATAATTGAAGCATAACAAATAATTTAATATTGAAATTTAGTGGTCTAATACGTATTACCGGTTCATTTTCTTATATTACTTAGAAATAATGTAAATATACCTTACTATATCAAAATATATGTATGTTTTAAAGAACACAATCTAATCTAATATAATTATTATATAATTTTTATCTTAAGTTTTCATAACATTTTTGATATAATATTTTTTTAATTTTAATATTTCCGTCGCCGATAAAAAAGCGATAAAATTTTAACATCAGACATCACTTTTAAGTGTAATCTTAAAAAACAAACCACATTTCGCGCGTTTTTACTTTTTCAGACTTTTTTAGCCGCGCGCGTTACGTTTACACAGAATGTTCGCGAACGACCTCTTTGGTGATGAAAATTCCAAATTCAAATCACATTTAATTCCTATTGATTAAAAGCTGTTTTATTTCCGCTTATTAGCTCTTGTTAAATACAAGTGACTATAATTGTAAATATATTTATTTACGGGAAGTAATCACCGTTTTGCATGACATGAGGATGTGATGTGTGGTTCAATATGGCGATGCATTCTGTGAGATTCCTTCGGTCAAGCGTGTCAAGTGTAGTGGGATCGATTCTGAAAATATAAACTCATTTGATATCTAATGCATTAGACATGTTTCAAATGCCAAAACTTTTTATAAGGGTGTGTTCGTCGCTTCTTGCTTCGTCAGTTTATTATTCTATTTTTACATCACTTTGCTTTTTGGATAATTTTGATTGTTCGTTATGGAACATTTGTATGTTATGCAACTTTTTGTTAAATAATTCTATGCGTAATCAACAATAATTATTGATTTTAAACCAACCTATGTATGACAGGACCCTCAGTAAAAGCGTAGATTTCGTCTCCGAATGGATACACAGATATCATTGCATTGTCCGTTAATGACTCGCCTGGTTTGAATATTGAAGCGAATCTATAATTAAGGAGTAATGAAAATAAAAAGCAATAATTTATTTGAGCAAAATGATTTATACACAAGAAATATAGCTTTATATAATTATAAATATTTCCTATTTAAAACTAAGCTGCCACTTGTTTGCAAATGTCGCTTTTTGGTAGAGATGCGACTGAACTGCACAACACCGGGGCTAACGATATATGTCTATTGTTTTGTACCTGTCAAATATTGAATGGCATGGATCGGGTGTGGCTGCCGTACCGAACTCCGTGACGACAATCCTCTGAGCAGTTTGGTTTCTCTTATACGTGTTTGACTGCAGGAAACGGCATTGGTACGTCACTTCGCCATCTTGGATTGCAAATCTGATACCAAGTTTATAATTAACAAAAAAATTACGAGGACATTTCTCATAAAAGACGTCGATCGTTTTGAGAAAGCAAGCAAAAGGTACTAAAACACTTTTTAAGTATTAAAGCCAATTGACTGAATAACGTCTTCTGCGCATCTAATAGTAAATTTATTAACCGAGAATTATAAATAAACTTTTTATTTTTGAAATAGAGGTGAAGAAATAAATACCTATGTAAAAGAGCTGCGCTGTCAAAAAGATGTTTGAATCTCATGGAACCTACTTTTAAGGAGCCCGGTCCATTACGAATCAAGGTTCCACGTAGCCAGTGAGGGATCTCTCCTAAAAATATATTTGTTTTGTAGAAAAAATATAGTCAATAATTATCATAAGAAAATAATTTTAAAGGTAAATCTCCAATATAATATGTATTTTTGTACGCTGCTGGTTTTCGTCTCACAACCAGCAGGGAGAAACAGGTCGCGTTGGCAACTCCCTTCAATTCAAATTTTCCTTATAATATACAATTGAATTTTCTCATACTTTCCTTATAATATACCTACAAATTATTTTTTTAATAAATTCATTATACTATTATTATTAAGGATCATTATTAAGGAGCTATTTTTAGTAAGGATCCACGCTAGTAAGGGTTATGTAATAATAGCTTAATATTATCTACGAATAAACATTCACCCGCAATGGTTCCTTTCATAGGTTGGATGATCTCCTCGTCGCAAGATCTTAACCACACCGTAGACTCGCAATTCGGGTAGAGGTTCACCTCTTTTTCCATCTAATCATAAAAAGTATTACAATAATCGAAGAAAAAATATAGTTTGTAAAATACAGTTTTGTAAGTTTTAATTATAGATTTACATATGTTTAATTCGTTACGAATTTAAATAAAGTGCTACGCCGTAGCCTTTTCCTACGAGGGGTCAAAGAGGTCACAAGCAATATTAAACGAGACATGTTCTTTTTATGTATTTAATATAGACATTTAATATGTTTCTTAATTTAAACAAAAAACTTTTTAACCGGATTAAAGTTATGTATTATTATAAATTGTTGTCACCGTGGCCACGCACGCTGTAAAGCACGCGAAACGTCGGATAAATTTAAAATTATGTTAAATAATTGTAAATTTATAATAATACATAACTTTAATCCGGTTAAAAAGTTTTTTCTTTAAATGTGTAAAGGTTATGTTAATCAAAGACAATACTATGTTTCTTAATGTAAAATAATATGGAATATAGTGCCTATACAATAGGAATCACTTTTTATTATTGCACTATTTTATAGCAATTAATTTACTAATAAGACATAAAATAGAAAGATAAATTTCCATAGCCTTACCTTAAATAAAAATAAGTAAATATTCACAAAAATATAATCACACCATTAAAACAACTTAAATAAACGATATTCTGATACACGAATTCACTAAGAAAATTTTCAAATTTATAAATTATATGCGTTTTATTATTTAAGAATGTGCTAGGGCGGACGGCCTTTGTCGAAGTTCACGATGTTCTGTGAGATCCATCGCACAATATCAACGCCAAAACGTAAAATGTATGAAAACACTAGCGTGTCCTCGACGAAGTTTTTGTTTGTTTTTGTTTATGTAGAAGGTACCTGCAAAGATTAAGTATTATATCTTAATAACCAAAAAGTTTAATTACAGACTTATAAAATAAACTCATGCCTAATTTTTAATTATTATCTGATTTTTTCGACATGAGAGGTAGGGCATAAAAGCTACACGATCGAGATTGATGACTTCGATAGAGACGTTAATTTTCCGCATATCTAGCCTTTGGTTGACAACTGTTATTCGTTTATTAAATTAAAGTTCAACTTTAAACCACGCCTCTACAATTTGCCTATAATTACACTAAGATGGCATGTGTCACCAAAGAATAGATTTGACATTACGGAAATATCGAATTATCAGCTAAATACTTCAAGGTGCTTTGTGTTGCTCCTGATCTTTATTTATCAATCATGGAAAAATTGGAGTAACTTTTTCAGTGCAAACTTCAATACAAAAGCTAATTCCAAAGTCACTCGATAAACGTGATTAAAATTTAAACAATTGAAAGAGTTCCGTTACTTATAACTAAAAAATAAAAAAAGCTAGTGGGCTTCGCCGGAAGCAAAAATTTTAATACATAATCACTTATATTTCAAAAAAGGAAGTTTACAATTCGATCTAAATTTTTGTACTGGTGACTTGTCTCTATATGTTCGGATATTAGTAATTGACTTTCTTTCAAACTTATTAAATCGTATACACGGATACTCACGGGCGTCTGGAGAGCCATATTTAATATTTTTATAAGCTGCATTCACATTTTATTGTCAGCTGCCAAATTTATTAATATATTCTCTGGAAATATCCCAGACGTGTGATTATTATTTTAAGTTTGCGAACGCGGTATAATTAAAAAAACCACAGAATACCCAGATGTTTAAAAATCAATTTTGTGGGTAGAAGTAATAAAGTTGAAAATGTTTATGCCACAGTATACTTATTTATTTAGGGAAAGTAAGACCGGTTAAGCGCTAAGAGGTGAGATATTTTATCCCGTTTGGTAATAAGTGTTTTAATCAAACAGTTACCCAATCATCATTAAAGTAAATATAACTAAAACAAACCTTAGTACTCACGGATGACAACTTGTAAAGATATATTTCATAAGAGTAACAATCTAAACACGTACTAATATAATAGGTCCCGAGGGATTGTCCTTCCGGTGACCTCCGGCGAGGCAAGGCCATTACAAGTTCAATATCTAGCTGACCGTGACTGAACCCTCCAGAGACAATCATACAGTAACGCTCGCGTTGTTTGAACCACTTTGTTGAACAACCAATTACTTAAAGGTTTTTTCTTCCAGTAAATAAATAATTTTTGTTAATAAGTCATAAAGCTTGTTTGAAAATACTGCGATAGGAAAATTCCCGAAACTAGTTAGTTCCGTAAAAAGTGCATTAAAAACGATAATAATGCTTTGCGACAGGAAAAATCACAAGGTTTTCCGTGCATTACGAATACTAATTGAAAGCAACGCCATGTTTTTTTGTTTCTTTGTACACCCAGAGAAAGCTTCCTAAGTTTTCCACACAGCAAAAATATTACAATTAGTTAACAATTCGCTAGCACAGTCGTACCTGTACCTTGGATCCTTCCCAGCGAGATATTGTTTGACTTAGAAGCCTATAAGGTAAATCAATGAAAGATAGAAAAACATTGTGTACCGTGACCGATGGTGGAAATCCGAAACAAATCTTCTTTTAAAAAATGTATATTCTTAATAAATATCATACAGTTTTCTTTAAAGTTAGCACTTATATAGCAGTAGCAAAACGACATTTTGTCATGATCGTAGAACAATTTATCATATTTGGATAATACATTGCCTAAATATTACGTCTACAATAAAATGAAAACTCTATGTGTTTTAAATTTCAAATAAATCAGTCGGTAAAGTGACGGCTTTGATAGAACCATGTGATTTTTCTAGAAAACTAATTTAATATTATTTTTATTTTGTTCCAAAAAATACCCTTTTGTTTGCTTGTGTAACGGACGTGACGTCGCCAGTCACATCCTGCCAAGCCAAGCCAAAGCCAAGCCAAAGCCAAAGCCAAAGCCAAAGCCAAGCCAAGCCAAGCCAAGCCAAGCCAAGCCAAGCCAAGCCAAGCCAAGCCAAGCCAAAGCCAAAGCCAAAGCCAAAGCCATAGCCATAGCCATAGCCATAGCCATAGCCAAAGCCATAGCCAATTCCATAGCCAATACCATAGCCAATGCCAAAGCCAAGCCATGCCATGTTGACCAACCCTCCAACCAACCGCCATGCCTGCCAACCGCAAATGGCAGCCACTTGGAGGGGATGAGCCTATATAAGCCAAAGCCAGCCATATTAAAACCTACTTTTTGGAAGACGTAACAAATAAAGAACAAGTGTGCTGTCACTCTGCCATTTTATTTTCACTGTCAATTATAATAAATTAAAATACAATTATCAAGAAAAGAATAGGTCAATTATACTCAGAAGTGGGATAAAACGACCTCGACCACAAGTTTTTCGACCTTCTGATGAATCAATGTCGGAGGAAGATGAGGATACTCCTTCACCGCCGGCACTGTAGCTGCTCAAGAAACTGTTAATAAAAAGAAGTAATAAAGGCTCTACGCGATCTTCAACATGACTGTGTTGATGAAGCTCTAAATAAGTTACAAGTACATCGTGCTGCATTTTTGACTCCGTAATTCGACCCTGACAGTGAGGAATATACGTTATACTACGAGGTCAAGCGAAGAAGAGGTATAATCGCCTGTAGGACTACGATTATACGTGGGAGCAATGGAAAAAGCATTTTTAGCATCAAGATGGCCGACGTTAATCTTTTGTTCGGTCAACCTATCAACAGCGAAGTCAACAAAGAAAAACAAAACAACAAAAGTCCATCTGGCTCTTTCATCATTCAAGTGCGCGTTCTGGAGGATAAGGTCGGCAACGATGTGGTAACGCCACCTCGGCACTACGAGGGTGGTGGTCTACTCTTGTCCCTCTACCCTGCTCCGTGGCGAAGATGGTTACATCAAAGTCGTCAACACCGGGTGCGAGGTTATCGTGTAGTCGCCGGGAGAGGTCCTAGCCAGGGCTGAAAGCTGCCAAGAATTCCCGTTACAGCCGTATAGCCAGGTACTATCCCTTGCTGCTTGCCATACTTTTGCCAATTATAATGCCAATAATTTAGGTCAACCCTTAACTAATAATTTATGTATAGGAGGTGTAAAATTAGACGACATACAGATAGGACCGTTAAATAATAAACAACATTCGGATCTTATCGGTTTATTAATACAATATAAATATTGTTTTGCTATTGGTACAAAAGATTTAGGGTGCACAGATTTAGTGCAGATGAAAATTAAGCTTACTAGTGATCAGCCAGTTTATCGCCAGCCTTATCGATTATCACATGGTGAACAAGCGATAGTTCAGTCTAGTCAGTGAATTATTAGATGCCGGCATTATAAAAGAGTCCGAATCCAGTTATGCCTCCCCAGTCATCCTAGTGAAAAAGAAAAACGGTGACAGTAGGATGTGCGTTGATTATCGTGACCTAAAAGCTATTACCGTAAAAGAAAGATTTCCATTGCCAAACATAGATGATCAGGTTTCGAAATTGGCGGGCAAAACATATTTTACAAGTTTAGATATGACTCAAGGATACCATCAGCTACGCGTGGGCCATGAAGATACACACAAAACTGCATTCATAACACCTCAGGGTCATTTTGAGTACACTCGAATTCCATTTGGTTTAGCGAACGCTCCGTCTGTTTTTATGCGACTAATAAATAAAATAGTTGAATCTGTAGGAAGAACTGAAAATTCTAAGATTCAAGGTAAATGTGAAATTCTGGCATTTCTTGATGATTTGCTTCTACCATCGAATGACGTGCAATCGGGCTTAGATATTCTGCAAGCGGTTCTTGTCAAACTTGAAGTTGAAAACTTAAAATTAAACATGCGTGAGTGTTCGTTCTTGCAAAAAGAAATTACGTACTTAGGTCATGAGATATCGGCAAATGGTATTCAGCCAGGCGAGTCAAAATTATTGGTAGTTTCTCATTTTCCGACACCGACCAATGTTCATAGTGTGCGTCAATTTATCGGGTTGTGTAGTTATTTTCGAAAGTTTATTCACAATTTCGCTGTCATTGCCCGCCCTTTAACTGATTTAACAAAAAAGAAACTTCGTGGATATGGAGAAGTGATCAAAACAATAGTTTTGAACAACTTAAAAAGTGTTTATGTTCCAAGCCTGTTTTAGCTTTGTATGATCCCGCGCTTTCTACGGAAATCCATACTGACGCGTGTAAATTGGGAATTGCCGGTATACTTCTACAAAAGCAGACTGACGTTACGTTGCAACCCGTTACATATTTTAGTGGAGTGACAAGTAAAGAAGAAAGCATGTATCATAGTTATGAGCTTGAAACTCTGGCGGTCGTGGACTCTTTGCGTCGTTTTCGCGTATACATCGTCGGGAAAAAAAGTTAAGATTGTTACTGCCTGTACAGCAGTCCGCGCTACGCTTACTAAACGCGACATTATACCACGTATCGCGAGGTGGTGGCTTTCTTTACAAGATTACGATATAAGTGTCGAATATAGGCCGGGAGAACACATGAAACATGTAGATGCGCTTAGTAGACATCCGGTTGACGTTATGAACGCGTGAATCGTCTAGAAGTGACGGATTGGTTTTATACGGTGCAATGTCAGGACGATAAGTTGAGCGCAATCGTTAGTCAATTAAAAGATAATACCGGCGGATCGGAATTAAAAAAAAATAATTTCGAAATTATTGATAATAGGCTTTATCGTAAAACCTTGAACGGGAATAGGTTGGTGGTTCCAAATTCGGCCAGATGGAAAATAATGCAAATGCACCATGACGACATTGGTCATGTAGGATTTAATCGCTGTAGCGAATTAATCAAAAACGAATTTTGGTTTCCTAAAATGACAAGATTTATAAAGAAATATGTGACTGCATGTCTTCATTGTGCATACGGCAAAGGGGGCTACGGCAAAAAAGAAGGTAAACTCCATCCAATTCCTAAGCCCTCTGAGCCTATGAGAATGGTTCATATTGATCACATTGGCCCTTTTACTAAGACAAATAAGGGGTATCAATATATGCTCGTTATGACAGACGGTTTTTCTAAGTTTGTAATTAATAGCTGAGCCAACGCGTTCTGTCAACTCGATCGAAACTATTCGTGTACTACGAAGGATATTTAGTTTATTTTCCTTCCCTGATCACATAGTCACCGATCACGGAAAGGCGTTCACGAGTAGGAACTTTATGAAGTTTTCGAATGATAAACAGTTAAGACATACTCTCAATGCTATTGCTTGTCCGCGTTCTAACGGTCAAGTGGAACGTACAAATAGGACAATACTGGATGCATTACGAGCCACAGACCCCAGTGAAGCCTCTAGCAATTGGGCTAACTCTTTGCCCGACATAATTTGGGGAATTAACAACTCAATTAATAACACCACCACTTACAAACCTTACGACTTGATGTTTGCCCGGGCAGTATGTGATGTTGCGGTTCCCGGGCGTGTTTCTGAACCAGTAGAGTCGCGTCGAAAGAAAGCATCTGATAGGATACTAAAAGCGAGTGCTACAATGAAACGTTACTTTGACAAAAAACGAAAATCTGCTCACATCTATAAGCAGGGTGATTTTGTCCTATGGCGACAAACACCGACTTGTAGCGCATCCAAAGTTAACACTAAACTTGACGACTTGTATTCCGGTCCTTATGTCGTAACTAAGGTAGTGGGCAATGATAGGTACCAAATGAGAAGTACACTAAATGGTTTACGTGGATATAAGAGTTTTACTGGATTAGTATCTGCCGATTCGTTAAGACCCTATAAAAGCATTATTACTGTATCTGATAGTGCCAGCAGTTCAGATGGGCAACTTGAAACCGAAGATCTGTTTGATTTATTAGAGAGCTAATCGTGGTTGTTGTTCCCACGGGAACAACTGTTTCAGGATGGCCGAGTGTAACGGACGTGACGTCGCCAGTCACATCCTGCCAAGCCAAGCCAAAGCCAAGCCAAAGCCAAAGCCAAAGCCAAGCCAAGCCAAGCCAAAGCCAAGCCAAGCCAAATAAGCCAAGCCAAAGCCAAAGCCAAAGCCAAGCCAAGCCAAAGCCAAAGCCAAAGCCAAAGCCATAGCCATAGCCATAGCCATAGCCAAAGCCATAGCCAATTCCATAGCCAATACCATAGCCAATGCCAAAGCCAAGCCATGCCATGTTGACCAACCCTCCAACCAACCGCCATGCCTGCCAACCGCAAATGGCAGCCACTTGGAGGGGATGAGCCTATATAAGCCAAAGCCAGCCATATTAAAACCTACTTTTTGGAAGACGTAACAAATAAAGAACAAGTGTGCTGTCACTCTGCCATTTTATTTTCACTGTCAATTATAATAAATTAAAATACAATTATCAAGAAAAGAATAGGTCAATTATACTTGTATGCCAATTTTCATAATTACAGAATATGAACAAAAACTAAAATGGTTATATTGTTTTGAAATGGCTGCCCTGTAAAGTTTACTATTTGTCAGATCCGTCACTATTCTACGACTATGACCATTTATTTGGTAGTTTATATTTGGTACACAAACAATTCTTTTTCAAACAAAAAATTTCTATAGGTATATAATTATATATTTATTATTTATTGTTACATATATAGATAGATTTAGAAGAATTTGAACAAGTGACTTTAATAAAAACGTTTTTACAAATTAATTTACTTATAACATTTCTGATATGTTTATTGTTTACACATGTAACGTAAGAATGCTATTTCTGCCTGACGGCCTTTTTCGGTTCGCAGACTTGACAGGGTCGCCATTCGATACACGGACACGTTTTTTGCGGATGTAGATAATACTCGTCACCCACCGCGTAACAACGGCCTAGGTTTAACATATCTTCTAAGTCACATCTGAAAATACCAAAGAGAATTATTACTCTCTTTTTTGTTAAAACTATAGTTTCACTATAATATAAATAGGACATTATGATTTATCTTGAGACGCTATTTTGATGACTTAGAATAAAAACCACGAAATATATACAAATTTTGATGGATTAATATTGCCGCTGGAAATGAAATTTCACACATATTCAATCTAGACATTTCTTTATTTTCTATTCTTACATTACCTTAAGACTAATAACAGAAAACATATTAATACAAAACTTTAACTATGAGTATAATATTACTTATAAACAAAAAGCTTTTTATAACGAATTATAAATAATGAAATCAGTAAATTTAAAATTTACTGCCAGTTCTCAAATGAAGAGCGTAGAACGGAAGAGAAGAACTAACAGTAAACTCTCCGCCACTCTTTTTAATCGCCAAGTTTTTTGTTTTACACAACGTTTGTAAGGAGCTGCAACCATTACACCATGTTCCACGTGACATCTTAAGTAATAAATAATTATAAAATAAATTAAAAATAAAGATTTGTCCGATCAGCAGGAGGCATGGTGAAATAGGAGCACGCACTTACATTCTCGTGGGAACAACACGCAAATACATTGTCGAAATAACATTACCGCATACACGAATTCAAGTACGAATGACGCATAGCCAGCCTTCGGCCCCCTCGCCATATTATAGGGAGAGAGACAACCCGTGCATATAAACGGGAATGTGTTCACTTACTTGGAATCCTCCAAGAGCCGCTTCTCAAATTCGTTAAGATTGGGAACAGCATAACCCGCAACACCATTTTTGCCAACTGTGATAGGGGTAGCACATATTGGCATGCCATAACATTTTCCTGGATCACCTTGTTCGACCAGCGCGCTATCTATAAATGTCGGTCCCTCGAAAAGACCTGTACAAACAATTTGTTACAAACTATTGAAGCTTATTTCGAGTGGCTTAGTACAGAATTCAAGATAAAATAAATCTTTTTGGTATGAATACATATTATACTATAACTTGGTGAATGAATAATGATAATAAAAAGTACGGGATCAACGAAGATAGTTTCTGACTTTCTGTATTTTTGATAAAACTCGATAAAACTATTAGAGTTTAGCCAACTAACCCCGCATAATATTGATAACGCATCGGGCCGTTGAGAAGCCAATAGAGAGATGTCCCTGCTCTGTGTTGCTTTTCACTTTGCAAATGATTTCGTCAGCCTCTCGCACCAGACGAGTCAAACAATCCACTTGGGTCTATAAATAAGAGTGTTATAATTTTGTCATATGATTATAACGCCTTTGCGGTTTAGTTTGAAATGGCGTACAAACCAGAGGTGGTATATTTGATTATTGGGGAAACAATAATTGTGTTGACACAGGATTACCTAATAGCCTCAAGATGTGTATAAACGCGAATTCTTACATGATCGTTTTATTTTATTATAGAACACGGGCCAAACGGGAGGTTCACCTGATGTTATATGATACCGCCGCCCATGGACACTCTCGATGCCAGATGGCTCGCGAGTGCGTTGTCGGCCTTTAAGAATTGGTACGCTCTTTTTTAATATTTCTTAAAACTGAGAGAGAAAACTACTTTTTATGAGTATTAGAATTTTCTTTAATTTTCCTTGCTTAAGGTTTAAAAATCAATCATGCCTTGTGTGAATGGTACTATATGTAACTGGACTAGAACAAGATATAATAATGTAGAACATGTTTTTGTATTTGAAATTTAAACCCAGAAACGTAATAATACGTCTTTGAAAACGAACACGGTCTCAAAGTCATCTCTTGACATTGATTTTTGAAACTGTAGGTACAATATATTTAGTATTACTTTGTTTTGCTATTTTGTTTCCTATTCTAATATTAAATACGTTTCTAATTTCACACGAAATACGCGACTCATATGTACCCTTCGTGACTATTTGAAGGCTTATAATTTTCTTGTAATTAATTGCGTGCGTAGTGTAATATAATAGTTTTCGAGTATAGAAGTGTTTTATATATATATACAATCAGCATGAATACAAGAACAGATATACCTGAGGAAAATTTCCCGCCTTAGCAGCAGAGAATACTGGTACCCTGGTACATCTGCCGGTCCCGCAGATCACTGGGGTTTGGTTTTTGGATGGATCAGCGCCAGTGATTGAGCAGAATAGCTGATTGGCTCTCATAGCGTTAATCGCGTTCACTCCTAATACTTTTCGCTTATCGTACACGCCTGCGACTTTGAGAGTCTATGAGAAGTAAGAAGAAACTATGCTGACAACTTTTAAGAATATTATTTTTGACAAGTTTGATAAGCAGATGCAAAAATTATATTTGCCATTATCAAAACTACTAACGTGGACAAATGTTTATATACCTTTGTTAATAATATATAGGGTTGAGAAATTATTTTATTTTATTTATTTATGATTATGATTAGAAAAATATATTTTAAGAATAAGAAAATTGTTTTAACTTGAATATTTTACAAAATACTAACATGAGCACATAACGCATAATTGCAATCTACTGGTGGCGTCTGAACAGCAAGGATAGCTTGAGGACAAAACTGCGCACACGCAAGCGTACTTGTTCTAACGTGTTGCATGTTGTAAAAGAACAGATCACGGTCCAGACTGTTACAGCATGGAGGCTGAATGCAGCATCCTCCACATATTAATACTACATCTGCGTCCTAGAGGATTTAGTTGGAATATTTCAAATTAAATTGTGTATTTTAAGATGTTCTAAACTTATATAACATATCTACATTATTTCTCATAGATTGACTAGTTGATATCTCAACAATTAGACGTTCTTTTAAACTCTGCTTAACGATCATAATTATGCAGAAAAACATAATTGACATTTTTACAAGCCTATGTCTGGTTAATACCAACCTAATAAGACATTGTAAAAGTTTCAATGATAATTTAGCATTGTGATACAATTCTATATAATGACAATGACAGCTTTAAATAGCAGATTCGCTGGCTTACGTGAAGTGCATCTTTCAGAAACATCTTTCCCTGATAGGCCTCAATTTCACTGCTAGTGTCGATGTGAGCCAGGTCATTGGCAACTCCACACACGTTGTGTTCAGGGTGATCATCGTAAAGGGCTAGAGTTTTTATAACTTTCTGCTGCTTTAGAAAGAGTGATGCGATACGGCCGACATCGGTGCCTGCGCCAACTACTGCTACCTATAGGATTAATTATCAGAAAGGTTCGAGGTAATTCAGAAGTCCAAAACCAAAATCTGAATTTAATAATCAAAACTAAATATTTGAATTTAAAAATAATAGTAAACGATTACGTCTGTATAATCCCAGATGTGTCGCAGTTTAGAAAGAAAATGGGTAGTACCGTGACAAAAAATCAAATTTGAACAATTATTTACATGATATGCGTATCTTTGATTAACTTTTTTGATATGACACACAGAGCGCGCTATTGGTATTGGTAATCAAGTCATCGCTGACCGACTTAAATAGCGGAATAGCAGGACCATTCAATTATCGACCAGCGGCTAGAACGTCATAGCAATCTTCGTAACGACTACTATATAACTAGCTTACAGAAATATAGCACCAATGTTACCTTTCTTGGAGGAAACCTCGGCTTAGGACAGTACATCTCACATTGCTTCTCAATGACGGCCAATGCATTGGACTTTACAAAATTCTGCCAATTAGCTTTGCATATGATGAAAGGCGGTTGACTTTTTAAAAGGGGAAGGAAGCGAAACATTTTGAATTCGTGTTAGAACATTGATTGTTTAATTTTTTTTTGTATTTTTTCTAATTTTTATTACATTTTAATTCTTAAATTTTGTTTTGAGTGACGACCATTGTCGACACTGGCGACCATTTCTCGACATTGGCTTTTGATTGAAGTTTGTCAAAATCCAGAAGAATCCAGAGTAAAAAAAATAGGTTTTTTATATGAAAAGTATGAGTTGGTCAAAGATGACGAAGTCTGTACACAGACATTCTGGTCTGTAGACAGACATAATTATGATATTTGTACCAACCCATTATTTATTTAATATATAAAATTCTCGTGTTACAGTTTTCGTTGCCATACTCCTCCAAAACGGCTCGACCGATTCTCATGAAATTTTGTGTGCATATTGGTTATGTCTGAGAATCGGACAACATCTATTTTTCATCCCCCTAAATGTTAAGGGTAGTCCACCCCTAAATATATTTTTTTTATTTTTAGATATTTTTTTCTGTTTTTATTTTTTTATGGCAGCATTAAAAAATACATACAAACCCCTAACTTTCACCCCTCAGGTGACCCTAAGTTGACAAGAATTCACAACACATGAATACAATTTACACACGACACAAAACCAACATGAGAAATTAATTCGAAAAAAAAAACTAAATAATAGAAGTATTGTCAGTACAATCAACGGACAATTATGATAAGGACAATATATAATAAAACCTCATATAGAACAGACATCAATTTAATAGATAAGTTTCACCTATTACATGATAACATCCATAATGATTAACATATTGTCTACCCACATGCATGCATCTCATACACAAACATAAATGACTAGAACTTCAGTGAATGAGAGCCGCCTAGACTTAACAGTAAGTACATAAAGGCAGTCTACGGTCAAACCATAGTATATAAGACAAAATATATGTAGACTCTTGGTCTAAAATTCCATTGACTGACATTTTTAGTACATGAAAAATAATATTTAATATACACGATGTCATTCATAAAACTATCTTTCGTGCTATTTAATTATTTTGTTTACATAGCAATACTGCAAACAAATACAAAATATCATCTTATCATTTCTACATTGTACTGTTAATTTAAAACGGTTAGCAAATAACACTCTTTAATAAATTTGTGCAATTTCTTTAATAATGCCATTTTTAGGCCCAATTGTGCAATATAAACGAGAAAATATCGAAGAACGCTAACATTAACTACCTTTTATCTCGGTAGCGAGCTGAATGGTACGGCAACGCTAGTCTGTAACTCCTAATAGCGATAACGATTCCAACACAAAATTTTGAGTTTTTGTATAGCACGATCCCAAGGTTCGGGCTACTTGACAAACTTCGTTCTTCGAACATAGGGATGGCTGTCGCTATATCTATTGAAAGTTGAGTCCCGGCCCCGGTACCATGTCAAAAGAGCTGGTACTGGGGAGTTCCCGCCCAGAGGTGAGAACCGTACTTCATGTGGGGCCGAATTTGCGCTGTATACAGTTGCCAGCGGTGGCCCGGAGTGAAGTACCTTGCCTTGCTGGGCACACAAGCTTCTTGGAGGCTAATTTAGCCTTTCCCTCCAAATGACCGTGAAACTGAACGTCGTTAAAATGTGTTTGATAACGAACGTATAAAGTACAAACTTAATGTTACGTCTCGGTCTCGTTTCTAATGTGAACAGAAACGTTGTAAGACCTTGCCTAAGAGTTTTCTTAGCATCCACTCGGTGATTTCTTAGTACGGGACTATACATTCTAATCTGAGCAAGAACTCACAAGTATGGCGTGAGCGAAGCCTGAGAAAAGTATATTGCGCTCTATAAATTTCAACCTTAATATTTCTTTAAGTCACAATAGCGAGTTGGCACCGTAATATATGATAAAACCGAAACGCGAATCATTTACTGTTTCGTAAGTCAAAGATTATAGAGAACCTTTAACTGTGAATTTAGACGAGATTGTAATTTGAGATACGATACAGCCCTTAGTTATTTTGTTATCAGATCTAAGCAAAAACTGAATACTAAAAATTCACAAAAAATCTATAGTAAATAACAACACACTAAATATTAAAATTGTGCTATATACTTTACAAAATTAAATAAATGGTTTTAAAGATAAATAATATTAATATAAGTATCAGTAGTTAATTATTTTTTACAATAAAAAATATAAAAAAAAAACTTTACCGCAATTATAATTATGCCACATCTCAATATAATTTGTGCTAGTAACATTTTACCAAAGAGAAATAATTCTAATCACCAAATTAAATCGGTGTACATGATGATAGACAGAATATACTTGTAAAACCTCGTATAAAAAAAAATTATAATTTCTCCAAAAACGGTTTTAAATGTTAGCTAGACGGCTTAATCCACTTATATCCAAGGAATTCTTTCAGAAAACATTACACGATACTATTATTCACAACCCTTAAATTACTTAAAATAGATCATAAGAAGGTGATTGCCAAAGCCGAGCAACAAGCAAAACATTTGCTATCTACAACTACACTAACAAGGCAATATAAAGAAAGCATGGAAAAACGTTTATACGTTATATGCATATATTGGTGTTAAATACGTTACTGAAAATTAAGTGTATTTTAACACTGGAAAATAGGATTCAAAAGTCAACAATCCTGCAAAATTACATTATATTCTAACGTTCAGCAACAAAAAGTTAACCTGGTAAATCGATTTCTCTTTGAAACCTTATTTGTTGCTTATTAACAAAAGAAATCTTTATTTTTATGAATAGGCCCGTAGTTTTCTAGAAGCGCTAAAATCCAAAGGTATAAACAGGATTGTGGGAATCCTGGGAAATTGTGGGAGCAACAACAGGCTAATAATAAAACCATTTTTTTCAATACGGCGACATTTTAGCTAAAAAGAGACAACATGTTAACTTTACGCTTACCAATATCGTTTAAGGCAAGAACAGGATGCAATTCACAAACTACTTTTAACTTTTAATTCTAAATTTATAACATGCTTATAATACACCTCTACGAAAATAGCGGTTTCAAAATAGGGGTAAGTCAGTGTATTATTTCAACAGTAGACGAAGGGGACCAATTGATTACAATATGTAGCAAAAACACTAGAACTCATTTGAATCATTCTTCAGACATGGAATCTGTATGGCAAGGGTCAGACGGTCTATATATATCGTGATCCTTGAGATCTGGTTAATATTTATTGATGTGTAAATGCGGCAGAAATAAATATTCAGCATATATATTTATGATCCATCAATATGTTAATATTTATTGACTGTGTGTGTGCGTGTTGATTTGGATGCGTACTCAGAGTAAGGGAGCGTTCAAGTATTACGTCACGCAATTTTTGGAGATTATTGCCCCCCCATGTAACGCGCCGTAACGTTTTTCTGTATCGTATGTACCCAAGTATAGTAAAACGTTTCGTGACCACCTAGTGGACTCTTTATAACTAAAAGGTACCATTATGTAGTGTAAAGTACTGGAAAGTCGAAAATAATAACCTTACCTTAATATAGCATTAAGGTAAGTTAAAGTTTGGCCTGTATTATGGCAAGACAAGCCTTACTTTTATCGTCCATTATTACGAAACACGTCTACTCCGAAGAATGATCTTCTGACTACTGACAATATTGAAGTCAATATCTATTGAAATTTTATTACGACCACTTGATTAAATATATATTGAGACAGGGATCACAATATTTACTGACCGTCTGACCCTTGCCTACGTCGCAATTCAAACTTAGGGTCATTCACTTTTTGTATGCGACCTTTAGGTCAATGACCTTCTCAATCTGTTTATTAGCTATATTTTAAATCATACCTAATTGTAATATTATTAGACTGCTTAATGGTTAGATACAAATTGTGGTTATTTTAAAATATGTTCACGATGTTTTCATTACATATTGTATACTAAATATTAATACACTCTAAGATAAGATTTATAGGATTATAATCCCTGTTTCAATTGTGAATTCTATAGTAAAGGTATCTAAAGAAGTCTCAGAAAAATACATTATTGAAAATAAGTTTTACAGTTAGTCAGTTCATAATGTTGTAAGAAAGGCGAAAATGGCACTTCACACTCATTATTTACAAATATACCTTTTTTAAAGTTCATAATACCAAGATTTCTGAAAATATAAAGTAAATTATCTTTAGAGAAGGAAAATAGTAGTTTATTATGCATGTATACTTGATAATGTATATATTTTGATTCAAATTCTACTCCAAGGCAGTGAAATTCAAGAAAAAGGAGACCTAATACTTATTAATGCCAGATTAAGAACAAATATTGGAATGTTATTGTTATGACGCGCGATTCCATATAAAAAAACCTACGAGATATTCTTTCTACGGAAGAGTAGCAATTATAAAATTTTAAATAGAACCCGGAGTTAAATCAAACATTCTAATTTACCATACATTAGAATGATTGATTTTAGAATTGTAATATATAAAACATTGTAATAGAACTTATATGATTTGTATTTTTAAACAAACATTTTTAAAAAAAATTGTGCGATCAGGTCGTGCATAATTTTTTTAATGTTAATAATAGGATTTACATAGTTTATACTTATGTAAGTAGGCTAAATATTGCCCGTCATTTAAAATGCTTCCGTTCCAGAAATTGAAATAATAATTACAACAATATTAATACCAAATTTACAATTTTAATAACAATAGAGATCGTATCGGATATTGAGTTAAGCCACAACACATCAATGACTTAAAAACTAAGACCTTGGTGTTCTATTGTGCGATATTTAGTCATCTACCACGTTTCATTATGAAACAGAACAAAAAATATAAAGCGTGTTAAACTTGATACGAACGACGCATCCCTACTTAGGATTTAATATCACAGATTACTAAACGAAACAACACTCGCACGCCAAGACAATGGGGCCTTAGGGCCCAACTGGGACCCAACTACCAGAAAAGACTTCAATAGAGCCCCACTGACAAAGCTAAGATTCCAATACTTGGAGAATAATCAGATCACTCAGAGAACGCTACATAAGTCTTGAGGTTCGCACAAGCGCGCCGGGGCCCCGTACGTCTAGGCGTAAATCCGGGGCGCTAATAGTCAAAAGCCAGGACGCCAAAACGTCAAAAGAATTGTCAGACTTCCGACTTAGCCTTCAGGCGCGCTGCCGCACAGTCGTTCCAACTCCAGTAACTCCTGAAAATGGCGGGAAATATTTAAAATATGTTGATTGACATTGATAGACTACTTTAGTACAGTGCCACAATTTTTTTTAAACTTAGAAAAATTAACAATCAACAAACAAACAATAACTTTATTTGCATCTGTTGCTTTTAATTTCCAATTGGGATTTAGATATATGGACTAATACCCGCTTTCCACTGCGAGTGGAACGGACCCATTAGGGACTCCGCTATACTCGTAACGATGATTTTCATACATGTGCTTCCACCAAAGCGGAGACGAGCGCAGCGGAGAGAGCTAGTTGAAAGAGTCACGTATGAGGTAAGCGAGTTGACCTAGTTTCCCACGGAAAGGAAAATGAAAATGTACAAAGCAGTGGAGGGCGGGCATTTAGTTTCGAAATATGTATCATACATATTTCATATCATTGATTCGACGGTAATCTTCTCTCTTCTACAGTTGATAATTACATCGCTTGGCAAATTTCCCCAATTATTGTTCCCTTCAATACTGAAATGAAAATGCCGCCAATACATTCGGTGGTTTAACCTGTTTCTAAATTATCAATACTTAGAGATTATTTTAATATCCTTTAAAATCCGTTTTTGGTCAGATAGTGCTAACATAGAATATCTAACCTGTTCGCGGTGTCTCTGCAGAGCAGTACGCAGTTTGTCGTGATGATGCACCAGCTGTTCACGAAGTCTGGCATGTTCACTCTCCAGCTTGGAACACTCCGCTACGCCCCGCTTCACGGACTGAAATCATACGTTTTGTCATTCTCTTTTCAAAGGAATCATGACAACTTTGATTTTGGATTCCGTGCAACTAAATAAATAATTACATCGTTTTACAATTGAAAACACGACATTGATATATAAAGTTAGCTAATATATTTATAAGAGGAACAAAAATGAAATTTTTAATTATAATATGATTTTTGATTATAACATGCCGTATTAAATTAAATTAAAAAAGCATACCTCTGAATGTATTTCTCTTTTCCTTCTGAGTATTTCGTCTTTGTCCCGATTGGCTTTGGCGAGAGCCTTCACGTCCTCCTTCCGAGAGGTCGCCAGGCGATTTAATACCTCTTTCTTCTTTGATTCAAGTCTCTCCTAAAATTTACAATACGTGACATTATTTTTTAAAATATTGTGTAGTCGTTCCTATCTTTCAGTATTAAAAGTTAATCTTGTAGCTCAATCTTCTAGCACGTTCCCTGTTTCGATACATGTATCCCATTTCTTCATAGATGATAAGCTTTATCCTAAACCAAAACAACTATTGTAGACTCTATAATATTATGTTGGAGCTTGGCATAGAACATGAATATAGTTAATATTGTCTACATACAAATAATATATCAAAGCGCAAAAAATCTAGTTTTTTTTTAGTTAAAAACACTAAGTACATAATAACTTAAGCCACTTAATAATAAAACAATTTTTTACCGGATTGAAGTTATGTATTTACAATTATTTTAATATATATATTTTAAATTAACCGAAGTTTCGCGTGCTTTATAGCGTGCGTGGTCACGGTGACGGAAACGTCGGTTAAATTTAAAATTATGAAAAATAATTGTAAATACATAACTTCAATCCGGTAAAAAAATGGTTTTATTATTAAACTTAAGACACTGTCAAAGTTTAGTTAAAAAAAATTAAGACACCTCTTGAAACTCGATTTAGGTTTGGTTAATTTTTGTAGAATACGAGCGTTAGACTTTATTTAATTGTGTTTTTTTTTTATATTTTAAACTGCGCTAGGATTACATAATTCCGAGAAAGATTCTGAAATTTAAAAACTCACAGTAAGATCCTTCATCTGTTGAAGATGTTCGTTCCTCAGCATCTTCTCAAGTGTAGCAAATATCGTATTATGGTACTGCAATCTCATACTCCGTTCTATTTCAGCGCCGCCTGCGCACGCGCCGCCGCCCAGTCCCTCCAATGTACTACCTTCTTCAGTTGTTAAACTTTGTTCGCTCCTGAAATGTGATTATCTAAGTTGAAATAAAGGGTTTTTGGTTGAATGCTAACAAAAACCAATTCATTATCAGATCAGATGAAAAGTAGACAGCTTACAGAATTTAAAATAAATATGTTTTCACTATTTCACGGGGTTAAATAATCCGAATTAATAAGTTATAGACCTCTTTTGTATGTGGATTTAATCCTTTAAGTGAGGACACGTATACGATACGTTACAGACATTTCTGCATCTAGTTCATAAATATTTTATTGTCTTTGATTGACATAACCTTTACACATTTAAAGAAAAAACTTTTTAACCGAATTAAAGTTATGTATTATTATAACTTTACAATTATTTAACATAATTTTAAATTTATCCGACGTTTCGCGTGCTTTACAGCGTGCGTGGTCACGGTGACTGAAGACAAAAGGTGTTGGATGTCAAATAGTATCACAGCTGTAGAGAAAGTTGCATTTTCTGTATTTATTTCCCCGGAGTTGGTATCGACTAAAAGATTGACGGTTTTGGCAAAAATGGCTCAGGGTGTCCTCTATTTTCGCGGATTGTTTTTCTTGAGATTTTAATTTGGTTATTATTGGATCCCAGGTGTTTGACAAAACAAAACGTCGGATAAATTTAAAATTATGTTAAATAATTGTAAATTTATAATAATACATAACTTTAATCCGGTTAAAAAGTTTTTTTCTCATAAATATTTTTCCTAATTAAAATTATTAAATTACTATAAATTTTTAGAACCATCTGTCAAGATCATCTTAAATTATATAATACCCATAGACACTGGAAGAGGATCGTTACCGGTAAGAAAACTTACATATTCTTAATGGATATTCTCTTAGTAAAGAATTTGGTGGCACCGGGTTTCCCCCTAGTCTGCTTCTTTCTTAATGCATCCAATTTGCGGCCAAGTTCCGCTCTCTTCTCACGGACCGCTTTGCTCTCCAGCAAGTTCTTCAGTGTATCTTCAATATTCGCCTCTGTACTGCTGCCATTCCATTTGTTTTGTGGCTCATCTGTAATTGTATTTATATTTTTAGTTAATCTTTATTAATATTATAAAAAAGGTTTGCCATGTATATTATTTCTAGGAAATATTTTTTTAATTCAATAAAAATAACTATCTATAATAATAGAAAATAGGGGTTGATCGTAGAGGTTGACTGTATTTTTGTATGCTGTATCATAAAAAAAACAAAACAAAAAAAACGAAAAAATTGGGGTGGACAGTGGACACTCTCTTATCAGTGATAAGTTATCACTAAGGGGTTTGAAAGATATAGCAGCCGATTCTCAGACTTACTGAATATGAATATAAAATTTCATAATAAACGTTCGAGCCGTTTCGGATTATGGGAACGAACATTGTAACACGAGAATTGTATATATTAGATAAACTTTGTGACGTTGTATGCGGAAATCTCTGGATCTAGAGAAAAATTTTGATAATTCTTTTACTATTAGAAATCCAAAGTTATTTGTGAGTGTCATAGGCATATATTATTTCGTTTTTGCAAAGTCATTACTACTAAATTGTAAAATATCATTGTTTCTATCCAAGAGCAGATAATAATTAAGGAATATTGGCAACCATCTCCCCCCCATGTAACGCGCCGCAACGTTTTTCTGTACTCAATAGTTAATCGTTTCATTACCACCCACTATTTATACCTAAAACTTACCATTATGTGGTGGAACTACTGTAAAGTCGAAAATAATATTAACAATAACGCGTAATTCAATCCCCGCCCCGCGTCGTAACGTTTTACAAATAGACCCCGTTACGTAATTCTTGATCGCTCCCTAATACGTACGCACAGGTTAATATAAGTTAACTAAAAACAATAAAGGGTAATATTTAAATAATATTGAATAGTCTACAACTTTTATAAAACAGTCGGAAAACTTGTATTCATAAACTTAGCGAACTTACACCTAACCTACTAGACGACGGCAAAACATTTATTATTGGTTATTCAGAAATAAAAAATGACAAAGGTAGGTTCATTAAACACAAGATTTGTAAATAAAATATTTCACTTACCCTTTTCTGTTGACTTCTCGTTTTCGTTTGGTTGCGTATCGGAATCATTTGCCTTTGATTCAACTGGTTTCTTTGGACTGACGTCAGTCCCGCTCTCTGGTCTAGGTACCTTTAAATATAAATAATCACATATAAACTTTATGTTTTGCCAACATTTTTCTTAGCTTTCAATAGTAGCATATAACTACTATTGCAGAATAGAATAAATTTCAAAAGTATTAATACAACAAACATATTTTTGTACAGAAATTTCTAGAAAACTTAAAGTCATCGAGATGATACTGACTTTGCTAATAATATTAACTTATCTATCTATACACTCCGAAGGGGAAGGAACTGACTTCCACTTGCTATGGTCCTGATATACCTCTCTCGCTTCGTCCACTTTCATGACATTCATCATATATGTACGTCGTTTTGACTTTTGACCTGTCCCTTCTCAATTACGTCCTACATTTGGTCCAGGTATGTACGACAAGGCTTACTCGCCTCAACCTCACCTTCCACGGTTCTATATCCCATTCGTAAGCATTTTTTCATTCACCTTTCTACATGGCCAAACCACCTAAGCATTGACTTGTCACTACAACCTTTTAACCCACACTGCTCACATATCTCACTATTATCACCCAACACCTTTTTAATCTGCCACACGCAACATATATTATCGTACGTCTACGTTGGGACGCGCACCCACTCCACTACGTATAGCCAGTAAAGCCTCATTTGAGATTTCTAGGCTATACACAAAGGAGTGCAACAACTCATTTACTGTATTCTCAGCACTGTCATCTCTCTATATCACCGTAGTTAAAACGCCCACGGTCATAAGTTTTCCATACAAAATATACTGTTACTATTCTAAGTAAGGGTTTTTTAAACTTTTATAATCATAATAATTTATTTATTGCAAGAATACGGTACAAAATGTTAAGGTGATACAATCATAAATCGTTCGCATATTCTGCCACACACAATGGCGCGCAAAATTGTCTTAAGGAATTTTACATTATTAGTCAAAGTCAATTATTATATTATCTAGTCTATTATACTACATACATTACATCATTAAACTTATATCAATTACGTTACGTTATTAATTATTTACTTACAGATACACCAGACGCAGGTCTCTTAACAGCATCAAGCGGTGCTTCCTCCGTATCTGTGTCTTCTGTCAGTACTGACAGCTGATGAGCCCTCTTCTCCATGTCACTTTGGTACTTGATGGGGTTCGCCAACGCTTCAGCCAACTCTGACAACCGATCTGGTACATAGTCCTGAAATTTTTACAGAAAATATTTTTTTACTATATTGCTTACTAATGTTTGATTCGTGATTTAATCTATTATTTATACTGATGTAATGTAATAGAGTTTAATAATTATTTTATTATGAAAGATAGACACCCGATCTTAAGGGTAAAATTCATGAGTGGAGCGCTAACAGTTTTTATATTCAAAATGATAAATAACTGATTTATGAACTGAAATTAAATTGTAAAACAGCGATGATTTAAAAAGCTTATTTGTTATTTACAATACATATATTGTTAGTGACAGAAAGCTGGAATCCGGCTTTAGTCAAAAAGAAAAATAAAGAAAAGACCTGTTTATGTGATGAAAAAATGGATGTTGCCCCATCTATATATTTCGTTCCAGTTATAAATATAATTTGGCTACGGTTTTTAAGTTCTATTCTTTAATCAGTTTAAATGTATTTTTATAAGAATGAAATTTTATTAACAATTAATCGATTGATTTAAATCACAACCGCCACCTTTTTTTACTGTATAGTATAAAACTTTCTACAAACCAAATCATATGTCATATTTAATCTTTTAAAAATCTGCACGTATTTACATACAGGTGTAAACTAGCGTTCGAAATTTAAAACTATCTTAAATGTCCGTACTTACGTATACGTACACCTTACTGAGAGTTCCAATTTCAAAATGGTACGAACAAATACACGGACGCCTGGCTGGACCTGAGACTTAAGCATTCTAAATTCAAATAGTAAGTACACACAGTGTGAGTCTGAATCATGTGTGCACGCTTACGTAGTACGGTCGCACGTTCACCTTGACTTGTACGTGCAGAAGTAATGCGGCTCCCGTGGGCTGTCCTAGCTCCGTTCGCAGGCCGACGTGTCTATATCCGGGACATAATTCGGGAACAGGCAACACTCGGTGGCCGAGCAATCGGCCACTTTCCTCGTGGGCTGATATACGCAGCATCGCTAGTTCTGGCAACACCACCTAGAATGCAATCAGATCATTATTTTTCTGATATACAAAAGTTTAGGATAAAATTTAAAGAAAATAATAAATTTTACTAAAATAATAAAAGTGCAAAATTTATGACAGATATCACGCTTATCTTTTATAAGTTCTTTTTTTTCCGTTTAAAAATTGAAAACTCGTAGCAATTACAAGTATTAATTTGGGGGTATAAACAGCTTTTTTTAATACCATACTGCTGTATAAAAGAAGTATTTAAATATACCTTCTTGAAGACGAACGGTTCATCGCCATACACTGGATTAATGCCATTATTAGGCACAACTCGTGTACGGAACTTCTTACGGACTGTGTCCGCGGGTAATCCGAACATATCCACTTCTACGTACGTCCCACAACGCTTATCCGTCAGTAACTGGCCTGACACAACGCTCACAGACAATGAACCAGCTATAATCCCGTCTACCGTACTTTCTGCGAACGGGTCAAGACGTCTATCCTGTAATAGAATGTTACCTAGGTTTTATCGTATTTATATACATTTTTATTAGCAAGCAATGTTGGCCGAGTGGCATCAGTGTGCGACTCTCATACATGAGGTCGTTTGTTCGCTCCCCGGCCGTACAATGCGGTTTCTATCTATGTGCGCATAAAACACTCGCTCCTTCGGTGAAGGAATCGTATGGAAACTGGCATATGTCAAATCCAAAAAACGACGATATGAGTCAAACAGAAGGCTGATGACCTACTTGTCTATGAAATGATCAAACAAACGAATACAATCTGAGGCCAAAGTCCATATGGGGTTGTAGCGCCGCTGGATAATTATTATATATTTTAATTTAGTATTATAAATACCTAACCTAACCTAACCTTACTAACATAATGTGGTAAATCGCGTTCCTAGATGGCGCTGATCACATTAAAAATCAAAATATAAAATTTTAATAATAATAACAAAATAAGTAAAAAATTCAAATAGCCAAAGGGTGTAAATTGGGTGGGTGCTAAAAGCAGTTTCTTCCAGACAACTCAGACCTAGAGATATATATATAAATTTTACAGCTTACAATAAATCTAAATACCTTTCGTCGCATGAATTCGGGTTTTAACAAGTAACCACAACGCTTATTGTATTCAAAGATTCCGAGATTGAGCTGCATCGCCAGGTCTAATGTTTGGTAGTTTAAAGCCACTAATTGACATCCTGCGTTCCAGAACACCTGGAAATAATAAGAGATACATGAGATACAGAATAAAAAATCTTAATCATAATATATGAATTCAAGGTTTGGCAGAGGAAACAAGTTTCTATAGATCGCGGGGCAATAGACGGTAATTAAAATCCTATCCTATCCTATCGAATATTCTATGTTCCACCAAAAAAAAAATTGTAAAATAGTTCAGTGTCGTTAACCAAATAGATGATTATTTGTTATGAGAATCAGCTTCAGCAATGTAGGACTATAAAATAAAATACTTTTTTGTGATATAAACTCTAAACCTTTTGTGAACCTCTGAAAAACGTGAACTAATAAATTTAGTCATGCTACATTCGATTCTGAAGGAAATGGGACCAAAACCCTTAAGAGTAGAGTACAGTTAATCAATTCAAAACATATATACCTGCGGCATAAAATTCGAAGAAACAATTCTAGTTCCCGCGGGATATACTCTGGATAACTGGTGCTTATTATAATTAACGAATTCGACTGGTCGCTCCTTTAGTAGCGTTGTTGCTTGCTTCTCATCGAACGATGACATTTCGTAGTAACGATTTTTCTCTGAAAAATTTATAATATTCAGCTTAAATAATATTTTGTCGCGTACATTTCATTACAAAGTTAATTTAAGTTATACATGAGGATATATCGTTTTATAGGTATTTGAGATTTATTCTGCGTTTATAAATAAATAAGAGTTTAGACATTTCATAAAAATATTTATCCTTTTTGTGAAAAAATTTTAATGAAAAATTTACTGTTATTGAGAGTTATCTGTATAAATCATGACTTTAAAAAGAGACATGGATTAAATTATTATTAAAACATATTTAATTTATAGTATAGATTTTCATAGTGACGTGAAACAAAAAGTCACAGATTAGTCAAATCGGTGACATAACGTGCTTCTAAATAATGTCTACGTCTGTCTCATTAGGATTTTTAACTTGAATTTTAATTTCGTCGGACACTGTTTTTGCTCAAAATATAATACTCGTATGTGTAATTTCTCGTGCGATGCGATCTTGCCTACAGAAGCGTTTTGGCGGGTTCTATCTATGAATGTTTAATTTAGTTAAGTCAATACTTATCAGAATTAAAAAAAACAGGAGTTTACTCCTTTGCTGTATTGACAAGAATCGACGAGTAGTGCGGCACCTGGTGATATCAACAACGAAGGGGTGAAAATACTCAATGCACAACGATTAATTAAAAATGATCCATTGATTTAAATGAATATACTTACTCTCAGCATTCTCAAACGAGCTAAAATGCACAGGCTGTACATAGTTGACAAGCGCAGAAATTTCTGCAACAGCATGACTCTCTCTTCTTGAATCCTCTGAAATCCCCTCCACTTCTCCAGTGCCACCCGCTTCCTCTTCACTAGAGCTTTCGGACTCCGAGGTCTCACTGGATTCCTTTGAGCCTTGTCGAACTAGCTGCGGAAAAATATAAATACGGAGTTTTAAAGGTGACGCCGTGATTTATTTGCGTAAAACTTCTTCCATTAGTTAATTTCAAAATCGTATAATACAATGTTTATTCATTTTATGTTTATATGTTTATTTAGGAATGAATGGATTTAAAAAAGTATTTTAGCATTTAGAAGCGGATTAAAAAATAACTATAGGTATTTAACACGTTAAACGCCAATAGAAAAAAACAAAAATCGTAAAAAAACTTTTTTGCTGTAATTTGTTTATTATGATAATATATGTATAGAAAATTAGTTTTATTAAATTCTGCCCATGGGTTACATAGTTACAGCCAAATATATAACTGAGGTCACCGGTGCACCCCATGGCGCACAAATACAGAAAATACATTTTCCGTTACCCTGCGCCGTGCCGCCCACCCCGCCGGCCACCCGCTATTCACTTCGACAGTGTTAGTGCGCTCGCGCTTGCGACGATTGCCTCTGCTTTGCTCTTTCAATTAGTTTCCTACTAAATTTGTTTTCGCTACATAACGAACTTATTTTAGGTTGCGTTAATAATGTACGAGATCCTTAGGTATTGGCTTAGCTATGGAGGAATTAGAATTTACAAATCAACGCGTTAGCATATTATTTTACAACAAACCCTTTGAGAAACAATGATTGCCACTCAGAATCAGATAGCGAACAGATGCTAATACCGAAAATAAAAAGACGTTAGGTTATACATACTTACTTGCAACTGACAACTGGTATACAAGCTTAGAACTAGGTTATTGGAGAAACAAACCCATTTAATCGGCACTTTGCGAAAAAACAAGAGGGTTAGGCTGTTCTAGAATTCAGAACTGTAGAAAGGTAAAATAATGGCTGTGGAGAATGAAGACGGAGTAACGGTGTTAAAATGGAAGGATAAGAGGGACGTGCTTTTGCTTTCGACAAATTTGCTGTGGTAGAGTAAAAAGGCAAACAGATTCGGAAGCCGAAGATCATATTGGATCATAATAAATCCGAAGGGTCTGTAGATATGAGTGACCAAATAGGTGCCTATTCTTCGGCATTGCAGAGAACCGTAAAATGGGCGGTTTAAAAAAATCGTAATCATCGTAAAATGACCATAAAACGGTTTGGGCTTAGGTTGACATAATTGTGAACCCTGTATGCATGTTTTGTTATTGTTTTTCTTTCTGACATGTTTTCTCATCAACTTTTACTGTATTATTTGATAAAATTAAGGCTAAATATTAATATTTCTAAGGGTAAGGCGTGCACTTGTGGATTTTCCGAACTTTTTTACACTTTGCAATTTCCTAGTTTTTCTAAAGATAAATTTTATTTTTCAGTAATATTGGTACACAACACAACACACCATACTTTCTGCTAATTTTTGTTTAAAAAATAAAGACTGAATTGAGTTAAATATCCAACATTTTTGGAACGAAGTTTTATTTTTGCTTCTTTTTTAAAATATTTCGATTTTTTCAATGTCCTATCTAGGTACATTTGTCCCAATGCGAAGTATTGTTCTACGGCGCCGTGCCGGTCACATAGTACTTTAAAATCAACAGTGGGTATGGCAGACGGCGAGAAAAAACGGTTTGAATATGTCTTTAACTTGAGGTCACCGGTGACCCCCATGGCGCTATGATAGAGGAATGATGAGGTCACCGGTGACCCCCATGGCGTTCAACGTGTTAAGATTTTTATTCAATTCTAAAGTTCGAGTCACAAATTTGTAAGAGTTTTTGTGTTTTACTAACAGATATTTAGCTTTTAAAACTTTTTAAAAATGGTGGTAGATCTACAGTACTCCCCCAAATCTGAAATGAATTTACTAAAACGTTATATGATCTCTTACCGATCCATGCGCCACTTCTCCATTTCCCTGGGGCACATGCTGTTCGCTTTCTTCAACCACCACGATCTCTTCCTTTTTGTGGTGATGATGATGTTTTTTCTTGTTCTTTATTATTATTTTATTCTTAAGTAACGACGGCGGTGGGAGCTCTCCCCCTAGAACATCATAGATTAGTATTTTCTACTGCTCTTTTTCTTCATTTCCCTAGGAACGCAAGTTTAAGCAACAAACAAGAGCCACGAGATTTTACTATAAAAACTTATTGAAAGACTTTTTATAGTAAAATACTAATTTTCTTGGTAACAGAACCTACATAAACCTTTTACTCTGAGATCGCAAGTCGTGATAACCTTCATTTTATACTAAAGAAAACTGTGAGCTGGCATATTCTTAGAAGTTCTTGAAATCAAACCAGTTTTCCAAGGCTTAAATCCCACTAAGATAGAACATGTCTAGGAAAATTCCGAATTAATATATATTAATCACCATGGCTTATATTGGTTAAGTGCTAGTCATTTATCAATTAGCACAGTGGGGACTCTGTTAATGAGCCCACTTCACTTGATCGTTACGTAAGTACCCGATCGATATTACCGATACGACCGTAAAATTAGCTGCTATTACTTTATCAACAAGCCACGGCACTTAACAATAACTCCAATAAGCTCTTGTGATGCGAACTTTAAAGGCAAAAATATTTAAAAAAATTAAAATTCGTTTCTAAGCATAAGACGCGCTTGCAAGCACAAAAGATCTTACAAACGGCTGTTACTAAATTTTTTACAACGCTGACACACGGGACATTTGTACTACAGTAGAGAGTGTCTATGTCACGATAACCCAAAGTGGGGCATGGTGCAGACACATTTATATGGCAGTTTTATTCAAATTTTTGTCGCCAGTTAATTATAAAAAGATTTAAGAGATTTTTAGATATGACTGTGACTACGTAAATATCTTTTTAATGTTAATTTCGTTCGAATTTGTAGTAATTTTTATCACTAACTCTCTCTGCGAGAAAGATAGCTAAGAATCATTTTCAGTTCTCTATTTCTAAAAGAAGCATCACGCCCACTCAGAGTTACCGGAGCTTAAAGTTGTAAAACTCGAAGTTTTAAACCATAAACTGAACCGTTTGTTGCTAAAGTTAACTCTGCAATAACCGTTAAATATCCCTCCGGGTTTTAAAAGTAAAATTCAAAACAATCTTATTTATGAGTTACTTTATACGAATTTTATTGCCAAAACATATAAGTTATCTAAAGTATCAAAGGAAGAACTGACATGTTTAAACAATAAATATCAAGGATTTAGAAATAATAAATGATTGGCAAAACGTTTAGTTTAGTTAAATAATTATGTTTTAAATGTAGTATAATGGTGTTCAATTTGACATTAGTATTATTAAAATATTAATTATAATCAAGCACCCAAGAACATAAACAAAAGTTAATGCTTATTTAAGAATTTATTTATATGTATAATTGTATAATGTATATATACTTATACATAATGGAAACCTCTGCCGGCGAAGCAATAATTATTTCTGGATTATGGGTAGAAATGAACTTCAATTTTTTTTTAATGACTATCTAGCTTACCGGGCTCAAGTTGATGTGAATCCAAGGGCTTATCCAGCAGCATATCTCCAAATATATCTTTGCAATAGTTTGCGATCTTCGTCTGTTGTCGCGGGCTGCAGTGGTTCTCGAAACTCAGAATCACTGGATAATCGGAGGTCTTGAAGGCACTTTCGGCGATCGCTTCCAGCACATCACGAGCGTTGATCTGTGGTACTATGGTGTAGCCATGGTAGATAACGGGCTCGTCTAATCGACCATTCCAGAAGTCCAGCTCTACACACCTGAAGATATAGTTTATTGTTAAGCTGCTACAGTTATTAACTAAGTTTTCTCTTGTATCTAAGTTGGGAGAGAGTGGACAAAGGCTCTGCTTTAGCTTTGACAAAGTTAAGGGTGCAATTGTATCAAACATCTTACTCAAAACACAAATTTATCCCACACGTGTTTAACAAAAAAGAAAGTTATTTGTTATAATTTGTCAAACTTTATCATAATATCTAATGAGGACTTTTGGACCTCATTTAAAAACTGATCAACCAAAGATTTTATAAATAAATAAATACTTGGGTGAAACGTGAATCCGATAAAATATATTACATCTAAATGATTTTATAGTTTATTTTAAATATAACATACCAAACGGAATTGACATTATTAATTTAATTAAATAATTTGATGCTTAACATGAGTGTTTAGTACATTTTAAATTTAAAAGTATTGACTGCTGAAAGTTTGGACAGATTCACACGAAATTGAATTCGTATAAAAATTGTTAAAAAGCTTTTAAACTCTACCCCTGTTTTATAGTTGAAGCTGTTATCTTAATCAATGAGCTGGATGAACATAAAAATATAACCATAATTTTAGAATAATAGGTGACAAATAGTTTTTGCCTGGCGCAAAACTCTTGTTTGCCCCTCAGGCTCTTCATTTTCAAAAGCAATTGCGATTTACATAATCTAGTAATAAAACTTGTCTTTTATTGACATAACTTTCACACATTTGATAATAAAACAATTTTTTACCGGATTGAAGTTATGTATTTACAATTATTTTCCATAATTTTAAATTTATCCGACGTTTCGCGTGCTTTACAGCGTGCGTGGTCACGGTGACTGAAGACAAAAGGTGTTGAATGTCAAAAAGTATCACAGCTGTAGAAAAAGTTGTATTATCTGTATTTGTTTCCCCGGAGTTGGTATGGTTTTATTAGTAATAAGACTTCATCTACAAATTATGTAAGAGTAATATAATCTTCATAACAAAGAGAAAACACAGCCTATTAACACTTTCATATAAACTGTATAAAATATACCTACTTTAGAAGTCTATCTATATAGGCTCTCGCTGACTCCGTTTGACAACCGTGCAATTCTATTAAAGTTGAATGAAAATAGGCAATGAGCTAAAAAGGCCACACTTGTTTCATATATTATAATGGAGACATGGGGAATCCAAATAGTGGAGAAATCGACAAGGTCCGAATATTGACATCAATTTAATCAGGTACTTAATGTATAATTATTAACGTCAGTAATTTACTGGAAGTTCTGAAATTAGAACGTAGTACGGGCGAAAAAAAACGGGCAATAAAATCTCCGTCACTCTTTTAAATCGCCAAGGTGTATTTACAAAGTGTTTGTAAGCAGCTGCGACCATTATAAACTGTAAGCCAATAATACTCTTAAGATTTCAAAATTACTGCTGTATTTATAAGATTTTATCTTAATAGAAATGTTTCTACATAACTCTGTTGGATTCGTTCACGAAAATAGTTTCAAAGGTTACATTCAAACCTTTTGCTGATATTGATCTTTAATTCATTTCTCTTCTACATTGTGCAAACTCTAAATGATGCTGTTTGCATCTTATTTTAAGATATGTATGATAAAAAACGCATTAGACTGGAATTCAGCAAGTTATAAAGGAATCAGATATTTCAATATAAAATAAAGATAAGTACGATAGCCAGTTTATTTCCCCCTTATTAAGTAAATACGAAGCGAGAGGTTGTTAATTTTTAGGAAGAATGTTAAATTGAATTAAAATTGATATTCATCCATTCTTTAAATATTATATATAGGTCTCACACAGAACATATTTTTCGAGTATACATATTATATATGTTTCTTTTTTTAAAGAGAGTGATTAATAAAAACTAATAACACGGTTTTAACATTTATTGAGTATTCGAGTAAGTTGTCTACACGATTAATGTCTATTTTAGAAGCTAATACAAATAAACAGATTTTTTCACGCTATAATCTACTAACGAATTCCGTTCGACGATCAGGTGATTTATTTAGAATTTTTTGCCAAGAACGTTCCATAAACGAGTGTTCTAACAGAATACTGTTGTACAATTTGAAGACGTTTTCTTTTTTATTAATAAAATCAAATTTTTCAATGGAATACATTGCCGTGTCTATGGCCCTGGGGTTTGCACAAACATTTTCTCCGTATGCAAACCGATATTTAGTAGGTATTTATTATTTGATTAAACTACAAATACTAAGCCAAATTTAGACAAAATAACGATGATAATTTAATATGTGTATCATCTATTAAGAACAGTAAACCGTCCGCCTACCACACTTCCGTGTGAAGAGTTTTGTTTATACAAATATAATCATACTTTAGTTTGATCTAAACATAGAAGTTGCGTGAGATACGCGAAAGATCAGATAGAATTTGATAAAGGGAAACTCGCAACGTTTTCCATTTTCGTTTCAAAGGAAAGGTATTTTTAAAGAACAATGTTGCGCATCCGCAGATATGTAATCACGGAATGACAATTACCAATGAAACCTACCAGTACCTTAAACAAGCCGCCCTCGGGGTAATAATGACAAACAAGAAATTAAACACATATATCCTCTTCATTACTAACCACTCCACTTTACACAACAGTACAATTACAATATCGAACCCGAGTTCCCAGCGCCTTGTCACCGGATGAAAAAAGACATGCGAAAAGTGATCTTTGGGGACTGAAAAACTGTCGTAAACCTTTATACGTAGCCACATACAACATTACAGGCTGCAAATGGAAAGGTGCAATGGCGGTCAAGTTGGAAGATAATAGAGGAGACCTACGTCCAAAGATGGATCTAAAATAATGACTGATGTTGTAAAAACTTTATAATTTAGAAGCCTTTACCCCAGTTACATTTTTATGTCTATACATTACAATCATAATTCCATTAAGTTATAATCATATTATTTTTTACACAATAAAATTATAAGATTGCTTAGGAATACGAATAACGAATAATCATTTATCTCGTACTCTCCATGGTTTCTCGTTGTTTATACTGTATTATTTAACGTCCGCTAGCCGATAACGTGGGTTTTATTAAAATGTTAAAGTATTAAAATAACGTTTATTAGATTTTGATGGTTAAAACAAACGATAAGAGATATAACGAGACCGCTAACTGATAGTCTCACAACTTTCCGGTCACTGCGTTGTCAAAAAGCAATAGGCGCGATGGGTCTGATAAACTTTTCAATATTACTTTGAATTCCTGTAACTTTTACCGCAGTAAAGGTGCACAAAGTTAAAAGTAATGTAGTCTTACTTCATCGGTCATAGTGTCCCAGGTGACATTACTTTCTGAAAACGCAGAATGGATGGATATGCAAAATTTTGACTTCTCACTTTACAAAATCCATACCCATCAAGATTCTTGAGAATTGTTGTGTATCTTCTGATAAATTTTAACATTAAACAACGAGCTCATTATAAAATACAACATTAACATTAAACCGCGTTATTTCGTGAGTAGAGAGATCTTGTTCCTCATAATATAACACGAAAAAGCTTTATGAACTAAGATATGTAAGTCTCTGGGGACGCAACAACCACGAAAGCTCAAATTTTGTTAGAGATTTATTAACGTACTAGTCTGAATAAGATATAACATATTTTTTAATATATTTTGTGTCTACAGAATGTCGCTATAAAATATCTGGACCGAATAGTGATTATTTCTAGTTGTCCTAAGTCGATGCACGATTATTTTTACACAAAACTTTATTACGGAACATACACAACACGACATTAAAATTTTTTATTTATTCAGGAAACAAACTCATAAGTAATTAATAAATCAAACAAACGAAATGAATTCCCTTTTCATGAAATCTAAAATTTTTCAGTCGCTACAAATTATTTGAAGAGTTCTATTACGCTTGAAGGTATGCAATTATTTAATAAATTACCGTCGAAATATTACAGTGTTTAATCAATTTAATAGGGCATTAAAGATACACACTATAATGAGCCTAAAAGACTAAAATTGGTACAGCTGACTGATGATACGTGCATCTCGTTCGTATTATAATTAATTTTGTAATGAGAAATAAAATTCTTCAAACGTTAATTTTTGAGGCCTTCTAGACAAACCAAAGAGGTTCTATATCGTGCTCAACGTTTATATATTACGTATTTCCAGCGTCAACCAAAGTTAATTGAAAGATGACGCGCTGTTATTTTTAGCCGTCAAATCATCGGTATAATGGAAAACAAACAATCCTAAAAAGATCAAACAGATATCAGCAGTGAATTTATAATTAATGAAATAATAATGCTACTTTTTTTCCTTTATTATAATGTATAATAACGTAACCGTCTAATGATATAATGTTAAAAAATAAATTAGTCAACCTAATAGACTTTTCAACAGAATGTTCTGTTCTATAACAATCTCATAGCAATTACTACTGACATTTTTGAGTACCCGTAAGAGAACAATTATACTTGATTAAAAAATTTATTATTTATGACTGGAATTAAATTTGGCAAATATGGAAGGTTAAGTACTTATTTCAGACGTACCCTGTAGCTTAATTGGCTAAATGGATTTGAATTCTTTATACATTCCACTTCAAGTTACGTTAAGTCTATTTTTACAATTACTTATCTGTTATATAAACGATGTTTAATTTTTTAAAAATCATTCAAATTACTTACTTTTTTTCTTTCAAAAACTTTAATATGATAGCGGTATAGTAATAATAAAAAGATATTTAAAATATTGTTAATATCAAAGTGCTATATTTCGATTGTTATTTGGCTTATCAACAACTATAAGAGTATCTAAGTAAAGTATTTGAAACAGTACCTGCATCCAGCCAATAGGCATTGTCGATAGATCTCAACGCTGGACTTCCCAGTGAGCTGGTGACCAGTCAAGTAGGTATTGTGCGAGCTATTTATGAAGTAATGCGCTAAGGGCTGATCCATATCGTCACAGAGGTCCAATTTGTTAGGCGCAACTATAGGATTATCCTCCGACATTAGAAATCTGTTAAAGAAAAATGTTTAATTAATTACTTCATTAGGAACATTAAGGTTTACTTTGATATTATTACGCGTTTATTAAAGCATATACAAGGCTTGACCGAGTGTCCACAGCGAGTGTACTTAGTGTGTTAAAATTAACACAGCGCAGTACTTTATCTTTTTCACATAAAATGCATCATATTTATCTCTACAAAGAACAAACTTCTGTTCTTCAAGACTAGAGAAATATCATTATAGATATATCTTGTCGTAAACACAACGTACAACCATCCTTTATATATATTATATATATTTTAGTCGGGGTCTCAACAGCTTGTCCTGAAACAAGCTGGGTATAGAGTGCTGTGTAGGCTGAAGGTCGATGTAGCGGTTAGCGATCTTCAAGACACGCACGACGAGTAATGAAGACTACAAAGAAGATGTTCTACAGTGTATATATGCGCCATTTCTACCTTCGTGGCTCACATCCCGCGAGCTTTATTTTCTCCGATTAACAAATGGATAAATCATTTGGTGAAAACAGTAATTTTTTTGTTATGGAAGATAAAGAAACTTTTGTTTTTAATAATTTAATTACGTGTCTGTTTACACAATAAATGGGTAAGGCCCTGTACTTACACCGAACCGTAAGCCAGTACAAAATAATTTAATGTAAAATAAAACCCGATTCAACCCAGCTTATCCCTTAATTAAATGAAGCACACCTTATGAAACACGCAATTTCCAACTTCCCTCATAATACACACCGTAGGTAAATTGTACTTAAATATCCGATTTCTAATTCCGTTTCCGAATGCATGCAGAAAATATTAATAAGCTATTAATGAAACATTAATGAGTGCAGCATAACAGAAATTTTACAATAAATATAAAAAAAACCCTGATGTCCGTGGGTTCGATTGCCGGTGAATGTTTTAGTCGGCATAGAAGACTGATGACCTATAAAAATTGCATAAAGGAGACGCAGTAATGTTTCTTCCTCTCCTTTGGGTCTTGGAGCACGGTAAAGAAAACATTTTATGGTTTTTAATAAGTAAAAGTTTCGGACAATTTCATACCACAAGACTAATCAAAGTAAAACCTCAGACAGAACGTATATATCATACATATAATATATAAATAATATTAATTTATTTTTATTCTACAATGTACATCTTAATCTCGCTAAGCCGCCTTTATTAAAATATTTTTCATATGAAAATGTCTTTTGTTAAGTACTGCAAGTCTATTATGAAAACATTATAGTGTTCATTTCTACTAACAATAGAATAATATCAAATAGCGTGCGTAGCGGTAATTTAAAAACCTTTATTTAAAATGCTAATACATTTTATGTAAATTAATTTTAATAATACTAATTAACTTAATATACAACTAGAAAATTATAAAAATATAATTATAAAAAATTTACCTTTTTTATTTTAAATGTTCAACTAATAAAATAATTTATATTCACAGGCAACCCTTCAACTACAACCATTTGACAGACGAAAAAAGAGTTTTTTCGAACTTAAAGTAATTGTATAGTACAAAATCAGGATCGTAACTTTGTCTAAACCAAAGATAACGTTATTATAATAATAAATTAATTATGATAAAGTTAATTAAATGTCAGAACACGTTTTTTCTACGATGTGTGACTCTCTTGACAATATTGAAAATTGACATATTATGTGTACACACCTGTGATGAAACCTGTCCTGAAAATACTATATACTTTACTTTAATAAACAACACGCGATGAAAACAATCGTTTTGCAGTATTGTCAACAAGCCAATTTAAATATTGCTGACAGAGGATTAAATTGTACGTGACTACGCATAGAGGCGTAGACTTATTCAGTTTATTTTAATTATATAATATACTATTTTCTTAAAATGGATGCTTCATTTATTTAAATCCTTTGAACCTTAACTCGTTGTTTTAAGTATATACTAATTCTGATTCAATTATTAACAATAAAGTTCCTTAATGTATTAATAAGCGTAACGGTAACATTAAAATCCTTGTTTGTTTTTTCTTTTATATAGGATTTACGGAAGTTAAACTATCAAACCATTATTGGTTTACTAAAACATGTGTGTTCATGTTATCACGAAAAGAAATAGTAATACTCCAGTGGCGCTACAACTTCAGTTTTAGCCTCAGATTACATCCATTTCATTTTTATTTCATAGACAAGGAGGTCAATAGACTTCTGTTTGACACATGTCGTCAATTTTTGAAATTGATACATGCCGGTTTCCTCACCGTACAAGTGAGTGTTAGATGCGGACATACACAGAAAGTCAATTGTTGCACAGCCGGGGATCGAACCTATGACCTCAGGGATGAGAGACGCGTGCTAAAGCCACTAGGCCAACACTGGTCTATTAAAAAAATCCCTATTAATGTCACCTTACAAAAACCATGCTGATTGGAATAATATGATATGATGATACTTCTAAATAATTTTTTACCTTTAATTACAACAAAACCTACCTCAAAAACCCATCAAACGTAAGCTGGGACCGCTGCTGATGGTATTTGTTATGTTCATATGTCCTGATAAGGTCGTTTGCTCTCTGCATATCTGCGTATGGGTGGAGGATCTCATTCAAACGAGGGTCACGTTGAACCTCGTTGAGGAAGTCCACGAGCTGCGTAGCTGATAGGTGAGGTTTTCCGTCCGTACTGTATGAAAATGAAAATTACTTATAACATAAATTACTTTTAAACAAAAACATATTTAAAAAAAACAATTCTTTTTTTTTTGAATTGGTGTTAGATTTTTTATTAGTTTTGTGATATAATAATTGATAACCGAATAATATGTTTCTGTTAAGTTATTTTAATATAACCGCAAAGTTTAGTTCAAAATATTTATATATTAAGAAAAAAATATAATAATAAAATGTTATTATTATTATTATTTTCTACTTAGTATCATTATTATTTTTCTTTGCTACTAAGGCGCAAACTAGCTGCTGTGGTCTCTGGCAGAATGACCAGCGCTGTGGAACTTTTTGCTCCTCAGCATAATGCTGAGCCAGGGCCAATTACAACGACAGTACACACACATTGCACACTAGAAGCGTACCGAATGGCAAAAGGGAATTTTTAATTTTAATTTTTAATTTTTATTTTAATTTTTAATTTTTAATTTGTACTTCTTTAGGCGCGTTATGAAAAATTGATGAGAGTGAAATTTTACGATTGCGCGCGCACCTATGACACAAAATTGGCAGTGTGATATAGCGTGCGCGAGCGAGATGGGAATAAGACAAACTACAAGTAAAAGAAATAGAATATGCGTGAAGCTAACTTCACGCATATTCTAGCTTAGCAGCTTAACAAGAATTTTGAATGACCATGACAATTGACATCTGACAATGACATTTACCTTTTAAACAAATATAGGACTTAGGAGTTTTAATTATTGTTTAAAATTAATATTTATATACCTAGTTAATTTCATTATACAAAATATTTGTGAAATAATATAAAATATTTGTGAAAAAACTGTGCTAACCTTCCTGAGTGCTTCAATACAATTGAGGTTAACTATCCGTATGTATTATCGAGTATTATTGTTGATTAAAACTGAAACATGAACCATTATTCATTGCTTTTGTTTATTGCGTTTGTTACAGCAACTTTTTAGAAATATTCTACGACCCTATATATCAATAATTGAGAACAAAGATTTAAGCACGAATACTAATAAGGAGAAAATGAAGGCTTGGAGCGATATAACAGAGAAGTAAACATTTTAATAAGTACCTGCATCTCAAAAAAATGACCACATTATTTAATCAAAACATCAGATTTAATCTAGCAAATATAAGGACAAGAGACAAAAAACAATTGATGAATCAGTGGAAGTGCACTAAATTGAATACAAAAAAGAGTTGTCATCTTATCGCCGTGAAACATCAAAAACTGGAGGTGGAACAAAGCCACCATCACCTTCTCGAGACACAATGGTTTGAAGTAGATTTCAATGAATTTGATTGTGATGGTGTCGAGGTAGGAATGTTAATTATAAATATGATGTATGGTGATGTTCAAGGTTCAACCTTTCAAGCATAGGCATATGCTTACAACATTACTTTATTCCCCTACAGGGTAGTTAGAGATATTGTAATACCTCAAAACATCCATGTTGCACTTGTAGTACCGAAACTCTGTCCTGCCAGAAGTGAGCCCATTCCCACTTATAATGGACAGTGGGTATAATACACCTTAATACCTGAGTGCGAACCACTCACCATGATACTTAAATTAATAGATGTTATTTATATATTTCAGGTTATTACAAATAAAATCATTTTGGAAACAATTGATATCCCAAAAGCAAATAAAGCCAACAATGACAAGGTAATAAATCAGTTTTGACATAACTTGAATACTAAAAAAGCCAAACAAAGGTGTGCACAACAGTGACAACATAACTTAACAATTTCATTATTTTGTAGGATTAAAGAAAGGTTAAAGAAAATCATGTCGAACTGAACAACAAGAATCCCCAAACAACTCCAAAGAAACCTACAAGGAAGACACCGGTATTATATTTAAATTATCTCTATCTCTAAATAGAATAAAAGAAAGTTGCTATCCAGGTCTGTAGCATGTGCTACAAATTATATTATTAACACATTTATATAATTATATTAATATAAATGTGTTAAAAAATTTATAATATGAATTATAAAAAATTTTAAGTTTTGCATGGACAGAGCTTAAATTAATATTCTCTTATTTGTTGCAGAAAGCAAGTAGTTTTGGAGAAGCCTCGTAGATGCACAACCAAGTAATGATTAATTTAAAATTACAAACCGAAATTCTGATGAAGACATTAGAGTCACTTAAAAATAAATAGTATAATGAAATAAAAATGTTTTAAAGATAAATAGTGTTTTATTTGTTTAATGTAAGAGAATAATAATAAATATTTATTTAATTAATTTTTCAAATGTAAACTGAACTTTATTGACTTTAATGACTCCTTTTCCAGTCTTTGATTATTTAATTGTAATTAATTATTTGCATGCAATCAAAAACTATTTTTAATAATGCCAAAGAAGTATAACTTCTTACGCGCGTACATAAGTACACGCACCCTTTTTTTTTTTTTTTTTATTGTTTTTGATGTTTTATTTTATTTTTTCTTTAAGTATTGTTATTTTGTGTGTTTTCGTTTGTAATAAATGTTATGTCTATGTCTAAATAATAAACAACTGAAACAATGGTATATACAAAATAAATATTTATTCTACCATCTATTTTAAGAATCTTCAATACTTTGTGACATCCACAAAACTGCAGACTACTTAATACAGCGAACTCAAGGTACATTGAAGAATAAATGAACGGTGAAAATTCTATTCATGTAGTTCAATTCTCTAAAGTTATTTTTGAAAAGCCCCACTTTAGATTGTCAAACTTAACAGCTGTCATTTCTATTTAAATGTAGCTTTTATTCAACTAAATTTAGTTTGACTAACTCCATCCACCGCAACTGTTCTACGTTGTATGAGGTTAAGTCAATCATTAGTTCAGCTAACTAAATCTGAGTACTGGCTTTGAGCTGTTGATTGAAGTTGAAATATACACTGTATAATCTCTCTTCTGCGTATCCTCTTAAATTTGCAAATGATATACAAACTTACGTGTACTTCACAGAATAGGCATGGCGTGTGTATGTTAAGGTATGGAATTGTTATTGTCTCCAAAATATTGAACAAGAAAAAGCACAATTTCTAAGGCTGAGATATTTAATAAAAATACCTTGAAAAACTTATACTATTCTTAAATCAAAACAATACCGCGATTCAAGATTCCACAGGTGACATCTATTTGTTGAACATAAAACTTTGATTATTTAAACAGATATATAAAACTGCTATGGTATGTTTCTTGAATTTAAGTTGTAATTAAGCGTGAATTTTACTATTTCTTTTACTCGTATCTTTATCATATACACTTCCTAAATGTACCTATATAAATAGTGTTATTTATATCTTTGTTTTAAAAAAAACTATGCATCCGCGTCAAAATAATAGTTTCTATTCGATAACGTTTCTATCTTCTATCCAGGAATGCTATCCAAAAAGCAGATTAAAAATTCCTTAATTTGAAGTCTTGGCACCAAAAAGCGTGGCAAGTGTCTTTTTTATCTTAACGAGAGACTTTTACTACACATAAAACAATACATTATTCATTCATTACGCCATATAAAATTTAAATATCTAATTTTCGATTTGTATTTTTGTATTTGTATATATTTCGTTATTTATATAAAGACACTTACAGTTTGTTAAATATATTCAGTACTTCAATGCGCTGGGTGAGACTCTTATAAAAACCAAAGAAGTCTTCAAATTGGAACTTAGACTGGCAGATGGTGTCTGTCTTTCCCGTGGGTAGACCTGACTCGCTTAGGGCTTTCTCTACTCTCTTCTTATCTTCTTTATTTTGCGCGAACAGCTTCACGATGCTGAAAAGTAAGTACACTTTTACAACAGATACAGAAAAATTCAATTACGAGTGCAAAGTTGGCCGTGCCTACGCCAACTCAGGTTTCGGGTTGCGAACTCTCATATCTAGAAAAGCCGCTTAGACAATTCACATGAGGTCCCGCCCCCTCCCTAGATAAAGCATTGTCGTAGAATTATATTAGGTGAGCTATATTCCACAAATAAATTCATTGGTATTAAATACTAAATAAAAGGAAGTCGGTAAAAAATATATTAACAAAAGAAAAACACACTAAAGCAACAAGCTATAGTGCGTATAACATATACATTCTGCAGTTGAAAGTATAAATTACTGTAAACACTATAACAACTTTGTAATTTTCCACTAAAACTAGTTTAAATCCAATTTCAGAGAAAAAAAATATTACTTTTTGTGGCATAAACTAATTTACAGAGTTGAAAATAAATGTTTCATTTATTAAAACCCTTTCTTCTCTACTAATATACAGTTGTTTCATATATTTCATTAAAAGATGTTAATTACTGCGTTTTAATACGAAAAAAGTATATGTATATTACATTAAGAAACAGTCGAAAAAGTTTCATAGTCGAAATGGTTAACTTTTTAGTTAAGTTAAAACTTTAATCTCGTTCAAATTTTAATATAACTTTGTCCTTTACGCTTATACTGAGATAACACTTTACTATGTACATCATAATTAATAGTGCCTCCTAACAAAAATACGCTCCAGCCCCTGGGACTTAGTGGTTAACGCACAGCTATTGGCTTAGAAGTGGCGTAGAAACCGGGGTATAATGGATTCCATTTTACGAACTTTGTTAAGATATGGTAGAGACAAAACGATGAACATACTAGTATTAAAAAATCAATATCCCTATATTATGGGTCTTTAAACTAACATGTCTGTGAGCATGCAAACCCTAAAGCATCAAAAACATCTTATACTGAAATAAAAATCTCAAAATAAGCTAAATCATATTAAACCAAAAAGCTACGAGAAAATTTAATCCATAAAACTTAGCACTTGCAACAAGCTCAGGCATCTTATGAATATTTCATCAATAACAACGCTTGGGATATCAAAGCCTGGAAATAAATTCCTGATAGAAACAATAAGTCGGGCTCTAAGTAAATATGTACGTTATTCCCTTTCTCCTTTACAGTTACATGGTTAGCATTTTGAATAAATACATTTATAAAACCAATGTTTCGAGTGATATTATTGCTTCTTCGTAGACTGTTGTCAGTCTGGATGAGACAATTTTGTTTAAAATACTATTCATATTTGCTACAAGTCGGAGATTTACCAAACTGTCAAATACGCTTGCTCTTCTTGCGTGAACTTAAAAAATTAATAGTCAGCTTTATTATTCATATTTTACTTTTTTACTGCTTGACTTCTATGAAACATTAATTTCGCAATACGCAACGGAGTAAATAATATACATTCATTCTATTTTGCAACCATAAATCCCGTTCCATTGGGAACGAGCTACGGACCAACGATTATACTTGTATTCTGATGCAAATATCTTAAGCACCTCATTTCTCTATGCGGATTGTAGTACGTGCTTTCTCAGTCTGCGAAGAAACAGATGTGTCTAGATACCCTAGATTAACAAATGAAATTGTATATTAAATAAGTCGATCTTCATGAGTAATAAATACGCAGATTTTAGCGACAATACCCGTGTTATTATTAAATGAGTTTAATAAATTATTATTAAAGCGAAGCATTTAGATACGGAATCATTTTATTCCATTTCAACTTTTAAACTGGTTTTCTTTGTCTGTCTTTCTTTATAATTGCAGCTTTGCATAATACAATTTTTAATTTATATGAAATCGTTTATATAAACATTATTCAGATGTATTTATATAATTGTGTCGTAACTTAAAAATAATTTAAGGAGCGTTCAAGTATTACGTAACGAATTTTGGGGGGGTTCCTTTTGTAAAACGTTACGATGCGGGGCGGGAATTGAATTACGCATTATTGTTAATATTATATTCGACTTTCCAGTAATTTACACCACATAATGGTAACTTTAAGGTATAACGAGTCACAAGGTGGTCACGAAACGTTTTACTATACTTGGGTGCAGAAAAACGTTACGGCACGTTACATGGGGTCAATAATCTCCAAAAATTGCGTGACGTAATATTTGAACGCTCCCTTACCGGATGAAGCATGAAGCACAGTATGAAAATTCACGCTTACATTTTAGAGAATTCAAGCAGTGTAATAATACTTTCATTTAAATCTCTTAATATAAAACAAAATAGTTTATTTTAATTTTAAATATTAGCCTGCACTATTTTATATTACTTGATTTGTGATATTTTTAAATCTCTTTGAGCGAGATTAAACAGTCACCACCACCAATAAAAAGTTAGTATGAACAAAGAAGAAACATTATTATAATAAATAAATATATATATACATACAACTATGCATACAAATACCTGTAGTCATTATAAAGTAATAGATAGCCCCCATCATATCATGTCTCATGTTTAATTATTAGTATATAGCTATAATGAAATTATAGAATAATTAAAATTAGGTTTGAAATTAAATAATATTTTCATATAACTAGCCTTAATTATACGTTTCAAAGCTTTCAATTCAAAGTTATTTGTGCAAAATATTGTATATTTATATAATTTTGTATGACAAACAAAAACAATTCAACTGCATTTTTTACTCGTATATTGCCAAATTCATTCAACCGTCTGCTTTCTTTATCTAGAATACGGCCATATCGCAATTGGCATGACTGCGTTAAGCTATTTGCATCGATCGTGATCACAGCTGACCGTGTCATGTTTGTAGGATATTATTACGAAAACATTGATATATTCATTTAGTATTTTTATATTCAAAACGAACAGCAGACCCAAACTTATCTTAATCTACATTATATGTTACATTAATTGTTTGTTTTGGTTATATGCGAAAGCTTATCTTAATATATATAAATTACGCGTCACGTTGTTTGTCCGCTATGAACCCCTAAATTACTTAACCGATTTCAATCAAATTTGCACACTGGGTGCAGTTGGATTTAACTTAAAAGATAGGATAGGATTAGCTTACATATATATGTAAATAATTCAACTGTACGTGTACATGTGTTTTGTACGTCACTAAACTCCTCTTAAACGGCTAGACCGATTTGAATGAATTTTTTTGTATGCGTTTGGGTGGAGCTCTGGATGGTTTAGATTTAAAATACAGCCCGGATGACGGACAGATGGCGCTGCAGTCGGTACTTTCATACTTTGTTTAATATAAATATCATGCAGGACAACGTCTGTCGGGTCGGCTAGTATAGTATATAACTCATGATACAGCCGAATAACGAGGGCAAAATTGTGCACACATAAGATTTTTTTTTTTTTTAATAGAACCGGGGGCAAATATCTCTGAATAGTAGAGATTCTGGTGTGGGTCGAGTCCCACATGCTACTGTCGAGGGCTCGGTACGCGCGAATGAATTTCCACCACGGTTATAAAAAACAGGGCCTCAATAAAGAGAATTGAGTTTACATTCGAAAATCACAAATATCACAGGTCGGTAAATCCTACGCTCAATAAGGTGCAAATAACGTAAATCACTCGGTAGCAACCACGTTTAATTGCAGATGGCTTGGCGCCGACTGCTAACAAACTTAATTTGGACGTCTAATTAGAATCTCGGCTTGCAGCGAAATGGAGATATTAATTTCAATATAAGCTATGTGTAAATGGTTTATAAAACCGATTATGGGTTTGGGTTACAACGAAAATGGTTAAATGTTAAATGGTTAAATGTTACAATGTTACGGTAACTGAAGAATTCTTCCTCCATGAGTGATTTATTGTAATGTTTGAGTTTTAACTCATGTTACTGTCAAAAAATTTGGATACTTTGAAAGTGGAATTGCGAGAATATTTTTAAATTAAAAGGTTCGGTAAAGATGCTATTAGTACATCTTTACACTCTTTTTTGCAACTCTGTTGAAAATACTATGTATTATATTAAGTAGTCCTTTTCATCTGTTTGTAATGGTGGCTTTTGCTGAACTTTGCAAGTAAAGAAAATTATAACTTAAAATAGAAGATCTTTTAAAATACACAATTTAAGCGTCTAAGTATTTTTTCGTATATATAATTTCATGAATATACTAAAAAACACTTAAAAGCTATCTAGCCCAAGTCAAATAAAAATGCGCTTTATTTGAAAAGGCAACACTTTTTTCAATACTGCGATTTTCTAATTGCCTTAGACCTTGGTGGCAGATGTATATAATTGTAATGGTTTGTCACTGCCGGCTGCTAACTCGTTTAGCTCAGACGCCTAATTTGAATCTCAGGCTAATTACTCACTGCCTAGTGAAACGTCACGAATTCGAATGCAGGGTATACATAATAATACATATCTGACCTACTTTTTTATTTGGGATGGCTAATAAGAAGTACATTTATTTCTATCTAAGCATTATTGGCTGCCATCTATACAGTTTGCGGTTTTGATCTTAAAACAACATTTAAAAGAGATTTTCATATTTGAGTTCGGACATTGTTTAGAAATATTATATTTTATTTATGTCTCGGTAAATAATGGTATTTGCATAATATAAAATATTATTTGCAAAAGAACACTTGTACTACGTCGTATACCTGCCCTATTTTCTACATAATAATTGTATAAAATGATTTTCCCATAAGCCACAGAAAACCCATTACCTGGAGATTCATGATTCGATTTTAACGATAACCTCGCATATCGCGCGCTAAAGGCATACTTTTATTAAGATTTAATAGAAGCTTCCGACAAAGAAGCTTTACAACGCAATCCTTTTTGAATAAGATAATCATAATAAAAAGATTGGATCGAAAATTGTCAAAGAAACTCATTTTCACGAGCATATAACGAGATATAGAGAAATTGCATTCTGTAGATGCACCTAGGGAGTGCTCGACACGTCGTTAGCAGACGTTCCACAAATATTTCCTCTTTTATTATGCACTGTTCACCTACCACTATGCGGACTTGAGATTTTCATTGCCCGGAGCAAAAAGTTTTAAGTTGCACCCGCAAGAACTTATAGCATAA